TGGAGCGGTCCTCAAAACCGCCTCTAAAAGCTAAAAAACCGCCGGGAATGCCCTTTTTTGGTGTAGTGAAAATATTACCGAATTGTTTAAATTAATTTGAAAAAACCTCAGTAATTTTTTATTGATTTTTTTTCAACCGATGTACAATCTAGATTTAATAACTCAACCATTGAAAAATCTTAAGTCCATACAACATATAACATCACATCATTTTTATTTTTAATTTATATGATATTTGATGAATATAATAAATTTTAAGTTGTTAATAAAATATTTTTAAAAATAGTGATAACTAAACTTTATATTATTGAGAATAAAATTTAACCTACAAAATCGAGATACTGATTTATTTTTGGACTTCATTAAAAAACAACTAAATTAGAGAGAGAGGACGTACTTTTATTTATGTACACTGTACTCGTTGTGAGATTCTTAACACCTAAAAACTTATATATTTTTAAATAAAACTTTATGTGATAAATAATTTTTATAAAATTTTAATATTAATATTTTTTTAGAGAAAACATAAAAAAATAAAAAAAATACTAAATCAGAATGTTCAAATATTAATATTTTGGTCCATCGATTTTCACCTAAATTGCCTCAAAATAATTCAAAAAAAAAACTCATAAACACCTATTTGGAAGTTCAAAACTCAGTTTAATGCACCAAAATAACTAAAAAAATCGAATCAAATTCCAAAACCTATTTATATATTTGAGTTACGATCTTTTTTCACATACTATTTTAGTGCCTATAACCATCATTAATATAAAAAATCAAGGGATAAAGTGAATATATGTTTTTAAAAAATCGCTTAATTTTTTTAACAAAATTAAATCAATTGATTTTTTTTTTAACAAAATGACGTCATTTAATGCAAAAACCACTGATTAAAAATCTTGTAAAAAATTATCGGTTAAAATCTTAACACACTAATTTTGTTAAGAATTTTGAATATATATATTGAGTGTATGAGTTGAAAAAAAAAAAAAAAACAAAAACCACTTAAAGCTACGTTGTTTTATCTCCAATGAGCAATATGGTGGAGTGCACTACCTCATGAATAGTGTAAATGAGTTTAAAGCTATAGTAACTCTAGTGTGAAACACAATCATATTTAGGTTTTTTTTTTATTATTAATAAGCCTTACAATAGTAATAATAATAAAAAATCATAACCCCAACATTCCAAATGAAAAAGAGTTAAAGTCTCCTCATTAAAAAATAGATAAAAAAAAATTGAACTCTCTTATTTTTGGAACTAAACATAATCAATCATATTTCAAAATCTCAAAAACAATTTTGAATTCAATAATCTAGATTTTATAAAAAAAGAAAATCGAATTCGTTTTTCCTTATAGATCATTAATGTCCTATTTCTACAATTATAGTTTAAAATTCTCAATATTACTCTTTTAAGTTTCCAAAAGCTTGGATGCCTTCCAAACCCAATAAATAGCCCAATTATTGAATTTGCATTTTGATTTTTTTTTTTTTTTTAAGTTTTGAAGTATTTTTTTGAGATATATTATAACATGTATGAGGATTTGAGAAGATAAAAGGAGAGAAGAATAAATAATATAAAAATATGAACAAAAAAACGTGAGCTTTTTGATATATAGTTATTATTAGTAGAGGAAAAATTGAAAGTTTTTAAGAACGAGAAGGGTAACATTAGGAAGAATGGAGATAGAAGTGGAACGTTAATGAATTTATAAAAGTAGAAATGCAGTTTATAAAAAAAAATGATTAAGTTGTTATTTTAATTAAACATATATTTTAAAACAATCTCCATTCATTTTGAATATATATATATATATATATATATATATATATAAACATTCAAAGCATGTAAATATATATACCAAAAAGTAACACTGAAGTGACTAAAACTTATAAAGATTGTTGTTATTGTTGTTGGTTTTTTTTTTTAATGGATTGTAAAGACTGTTCTTAATTTGCAACATTTATGCTGTTAGCTTTGGTGTTTATATATATATATATATAGTAACAAAGATGAGAATTCTATTGATAAGCCTGGAAGACAAAGTGGGTTTTATAGCCTCGAATGGCTCTCAAGACAAATAAAAAGGAGAATTACACTAAAAAAAGAAAAAGAAAAATTAAATTAATCTTAGACCAAGTGGCGATCAATAGTTCTGTTATTTCGTCTTATTTCTTAGACAATTCTTTTTCTCGATAGACATAATTGTCCATCAAATCTGCTTCACTTAATCCCAATCCAGATCTATAGAATTAACCTCCGCTGAAACTCTATAGGAATAAAAAAAATAAATAAAAAATCATAATCTAAAAAGAAGACACATGAGGGTAAAAAAAAACTAGATAAATTAGATATTACACAATGAAAAAGGTCATATCTAAATGCATAAAGCCTCGATACGAAATTATTGATAAAAAATCGAAAAAAGAGAGAAGAGACACTATCGCTGCTGGCGGCAGTGAAGAAAAACCTTAAGAGACTCTCTAAACTTTAGAAAAAGGAAAAACACAGGGAGAGATGCTTTAAATGATTCTTTGGTGTTTTCTTCAAGTGGTAAGGGAGTTGCCATTCATATTATTACTGCAAGAAAAACGTTGAATAGTGACTCCAAACAATAATCCAAAGTCTAGAACTTTGTATTATCTAAACATATCGATTCCTATAAATTCAGTTACGTTGTTAATTTGGCTTAGTGCCACTTGGATTTGGATAGAACTGAATCAGCAAGGTCTAGAGAGGATTGCAAATTAAATCATTTTTTATTAGTTTCAATCGTAAAGCTTATCTTTTACCAGCCCTATATCGGCACCTAAGTAAGTCATAATTCATACTATTTCGATAAAGTTATTTGAGCCTCATTTTTTAGATTAAAGTACTCGTTAACTATGTGAGGATAATAACGAGTCTAGGATAACGCCACTCAAGCTTTTGCGTCAGGTATGACAAATGTGGCACGAATACAATAGACAAAGGTAGAAATGATAACAAGTTTGAAGCAAATTAGAGGTGGAAGTTTAAGGACGCTGTAAATTAAGCAAAAGATCTTTCCGCGTGTTAAACTTAATTAATCAAGAAGGGAATCCCACCACGAGATATGTTTATAGATGTCAGGCTACGTACGTGTACATTTTGTAAAATTTGATTCGTCAGTTAACCTGTCAAATCGTAATTTCACACGTAGCTGATGAATTAGCTAATTAGGTTTGATCTCCAAGGTGATATTGATCCTGACTATGATTACCTTAATTTGCTTAACATTCGAGCAAGCTCCGGTTGGTTCGCGAACTAATTAAAACAATATTGTCACCTTCAGAACATGCTTTGTTTTGTCCTGATAGAGGTTGTGACATTGGATAGCATGGCAAAATCATTTCCGCTCATACAAAGTAAGATTCATCATGTCACTTCAAGCTGTGCGCACCTGTTCCCTTTTGCTACAGGCCAGGCTCACACTGTCAGTCTCTCCCTCTCCCCCTTCTCCATCATGCATGCATTTTTGCGTGTCTGGGGCTTGGGCAAAATTTAACCAAGCAGAATATATATATAAAGTGATTTTCCCATCCCAACAATTTCATGTAAAGGCTTATACTGATATGAATGATTCTCTTGCCCTGAAATTAAGAACCACTTTGTATTTTTGGAATTACTAGCTTAATTAGAAAACTTAAAACAATTACTATTTACCTTCTTTTTTTTTTGGTATTCAATTTGGAGGTTAACTCAACTAAATCTCATTTTCAAATAAATTAGAGTAAATTATTCTTTGGTCACTTAGCTTTCAACTTAATTGTAACTCAGTACCTCAGTTTTCCAAAAAAGTCCTTCACTTTGATTCTTTGTTTATAAAGTCGTTTTTTGCGGTGCGTTGTTAACTCTCTGTTATCATTGGCAAAAAAACTCTTTGAAAAACTTCAATTTTGGATACTATTAGCTGAAAATTTTCACATATCCTAATAAAAATTCAATCTACTTTCAAAAATAATTTCAAATTTTTTTAAGATTAGAAAGTAAATTTTAATTATTCTTAAACATTAAATATTTAAAATTCTAAAAAATAAAAAATAATTTGAGAAGATCCTAATTTTTTTAATTGTTCTGAAAAAATAATATACATTTATATGTATATTTATAGTATTATTATCAAAATATTTGCATGTATGGTTCTCAAATTTATATTATTTTAATTTTTAGTTAGGTGTAACGTATTCAACCATACAAATACTTTGAGATTCATATTAAGAACAAAACGATAAATGCATATAAATTTTTTAAGGCTTTCTAAAAAAATGAGGTCATTCTAAATTATTTTTTATTTTTATAATTTTCTAAATATTGAATATTTTTTTAAAAAATAAAGAATACTTTCTGATTTAAAATTTTTTTGAAGTTATTTTTGAAAGTATATTGAATTTTTATTAACATATGTAAAAAAATTGAGCTTAAAATATCAAAAATTAAATTTTCTGAAGAGGATTTTTAGTCAATAATAATGCAAAAATAACGGTGCTCTGAAAAAAAAAAACATGTTATAAACAAAAAATTAAAAGAATATAATTGTAGGTTTTTCACAAAACCAAGGGACTAAATTACAATTTCCTTGACAAGTGAAGGATGCAATAATAATTTAATCAATTAATTACTAGAAGTTATCCACACGAATCCCCTAATTCCTGCAAGAGTACTTGCAGATCTCTTCTTCTAATCCAATTATACATATATAGAACTCTACGATGATAGACATTATGTTATGCATTGTCCTTCCAATACTTGAAAAGATAAGCAAGATCCTATTTTGCTGGATTCTGTCATTGAACATTCAACTGACTTGCAGTCGTAGAGAACTAGCCATGCATAATTTGGTAGCATAAAATTTGATGTGATCGGCAAAAGTCACAAAACCACAATGAGTTTGGCCAGCTATATGGACCAGACATTACATGATCTCTCAACACAAAAACAAGGTAGCTATGGTCTAATTCGAGAAGCATGAAGCGATGAGGTGCTCGTGGGATTCCTTATCTGAAGAGAAAAATGACAACGATTTGGTCGGGAGGTTAAGCCAAAAGCCTAAAGCGACTGCCTTTATGAAGCTGGCAAGGACAAATGTTCTTGACTTAAAAAAATTCCATGTAAAGGTACATTAATTATTGAATGTGACCTTCTTTCTCTTTTCCTTTGCTTTGTCTCGATCTCTTCTCCCTCCTCCACACCCTAGCTAATTTTCCTGGTCGCCAATCACGATATACAGAAGAAATAGATACTTCATGTTTACTGAATGTCTAGAATATCATCAATCACTTTCGATGTAGTATTTAGTTTCAAAGTCTTCGGTCAATTTTGTGTGTCTTTGACTCTCTATATATAAATTATAAAGATTAAAAACTTCTTAGTAAATTTACGTAGGTCTTGGTCAATCATATAAAAAGTAAGTCCAATTGCTAGAGAATATATATCGGTCAATTCGATTTGCTTCGAAGTTACATGATCATTAATTGATAGAGAAAAGCTCATGAAATTTCGGGACACGGGAATTAATTCGATCAAAATTAATATATCTAAGTGAAAAACTATTATTTTATGAGATTAACGAGGATGGAATGATTAGGTGCATGCGGCATTTAGTAATCACAGATGAATATAAATAAAATTGAGTAATATTCATAATTATTTAGCCATAGCTCAACAGATAACCGTTACCTATATGATTAATTTTAGAATATCTTTTTGCAATTAAATGTTTTATTGATTAAAAAACATACACTCAATCGATTAGCGTATACCTTTTACGGTCATTTGCAAGGGGTGTGTGTGTGTGTATAGATGTTCAAAAACATCACTACCGCGGCATTCCTTTGTGCTCGTTGCTTGGCATAATGATTTCTGTTGAATTCCAGGGAAACAATTTCTCCGAGATTTTGATGGCCCTTCTATTATTTTTACAAATTGAAAAACCTAAACAAATAGGATAATTATAAAGCATTTTTATATTTAATATTAAAAACAGAAGCAAAAGACCAGTCAGGGATGTGGCCGGATATATCCATTAATGTTGGTCTGCATGGAGGAACAACAATATTACAGTGTATGTGCGTAATATAATATTATATTGGTGGGGAATATACTAAAATTTTTATCTTTCTAGGATCCATAAATAAAAGCAACATGTTAGATATCGATAGATCATATCATATAAAAAGTGTCCCTGGCTTTCTTTACGGTCGCTTGTCATTAATTTTTTAATTATATTTTTATCCTTCACTTATTAGCGGTAGTGGCCAAATGATTGGTACTTCTTTGTGACAGTAGCTAATGTAATTTTATGTGCGCGTAAGGGTTTGATTAATCCACCCGCACCACTAACGTTCACATTATGATGAACTAAAACGTCCATAAAATCTGAAATAATGAAATTGAACATGCACCTTTACGTTCTCCAATAAATCCCACATTATTGCTCTCAAATAATATTGATGACCCGTTATTTGTTATTTATAGGGTAGGGTACTAGACCTAAACGTAACCTGCACCTTTATGCCTTTACGCCCTTGTCAACAAAAGAGGAGGGTGCTTCTTCTCTGAACTTTCACAGTCTGTCGTATCGATACATCTGACAAGTGTACATTGGGTGTTTCTAGGCCCAACGAAATTAGAAATAGAATCGATCTTATGCTACACGCCCCATTGAAGCTGCAGGAAGATTGAGTACTTGCCCAGTACTTGATTTTTATAAAATTAATTAAATAATAAAACGAGTAATATATAAAATTAAAAATAATAAAAAGGTTACATCGTGTTTTTTTTATAAATAGAATCAAGTTTCAACTATTAAATTCTAAAATATATCATAACTGGAGTTTGAGCTATTATTAGAAAATTATTTTCTAATTACAATATATTTCTTTTAGCATTCAAGTTCATAAAAATCAAACTCATGATTTGTATTGCAACATTGCAATTCCCAACTTAATTTTACTGCATAGTGACAATATTGAACATCTAAGCAAAATATACTTACTTCACAATTAAAATTTGAGGAGCATTTAAAATAAGAAGAAACAGCTCTAAATAACTCAATCGATAGAAATACCCTCTTTTGTTTTTAAAAAATAAAAATGTTTTGAATTAATTTTTACGTATTTCAAGATTAATTCATCTTTAGACGTTGTTTTTAAAAACTTTTCAATGCATTATTTTAGATATTTTAAAAATAAAAATTTAAAAATATTGATCATAAAAATTAAATCCTAAATTTAGTTTATAACTCAATATTTACTTTAATGGGTTATTTTTTTGTGGTTAGAAACCGTTGAAGTTTGAAATTTGAAGGCAGGGAGCACCCTTTGTCATACCCCCTATTATATCATTTATATGTAACTCGCAGGCTCAACTAACGCCCTTCGGTTTTGGGGTCAACAGAGTTAGGTAAGCAAAACATTAAAAAGCTTCGATTGGTATCTTGTTTCAGATCATATTTTCATGTTTTATATAGATGGAATGTCAAATACAAAAAAGGGCTCAACTTCTTGCTTGCCATGGTATTCAAAAAGCTCTCATTTTACAGTTGTCAGCAATTAAAGGAGTTCTACCTTGTGACTATGCCAATCTACAGAAGGAATCTACTTTCAAACTAATTGTTGACCGGAAACTATATGCATTTTATTTTTTCTAAACAATATTTTACTCAACAACTGCTTCGTTTAATTATGGAAATAAGAAATTAACCAATCTATAAACAATATTGTAAGGAATAGGCTGAAGAGGCAGCTGGTCCCATCTCATGGTAGTTATCCCCAGTGAGGTGTTCCCCGTCCTAGTCTAGTTTATAGTTATGATAACAAATAGAAGTTTCCACTACTCTGCTAAGTATTCCTTGTATTAGTAAAGAAAATTATCAACTTAAAGCTTGTTAGCTGAAATGTACTTGATCCATGTTTTAGGTGCCCATACGTGAAGTTTTGAACCGAAAAATTAATTTAATTGAAACTATATATATATATAATCTCATAGGTTAAGTTTCTATTTAACTTGATAAAGAATTAAAAAAATTAATTTAATTGAAATTTGTAATTATTAATTTTGAGTCTTTTAATTCTGAAGTAAATAAATAAACAAGGAGGTATTTTGATTTCCATTTCATCGGGTCATATGGACATGAGAACAAGATTCAGAAAGGAAGTTATTGACATACAAAACAAATCAAAAGTGATATTTATAGACATCTTTTACGTACAAATTAGACACAATTCTAGTTGTAGTCTTGTAGGAAATCAAGGTGTGGCCCCCTTTTGATGCTGATGTCGTCAACCATCACCAGTTCCTAGCTAACCAAAAAATAGACTTCAATAAAAGCTTTGTAGACCCTAAGAGCTTGGCAGATGATTTGTCATCTTTTTTTTTTTTTTTAATTTTTGGATTCAAATATTAGATAAACATCTAAAAAAATATTTATTAATGCAGGAGATTAGTATAAATATACGAGATTAATATAAGTAAGGGATGTGTTTTTAAAAATGTTAAAAAAAACTTAATTTTGATTAATGTGCCAAAACTAATCTAAAAATATTTTTAATATGTAATAATAATAAAAAAAAGGTTATGTGACATATATTCATAGAGCCCATACTTAAACACACCGAAAATATTTAAAAAAGAGAAAGAACAAAGCTCCTCATAATCCCAAATCAAAAGATGCAACTTATATATTAGTGAAATAATCAGTCATTTTATTTAGCTACCTAATACTGTCACTTTGCCAAAAAAGAAAAAAAAAAAAAACAAATAATAATAAAAAGAAAGCAACAATCATATATGTTGATCTTCTGCATATGTGATGAGAGAAAGAAAGTCCCCCTCTTACGCAAATTCTCCTCAAAGCAACAACCACTCCCTCCCTTCCTAGTCCTCCCTTCCTCTCTCTCTGTTTCTCTCTCTCTCTCCCCCCCAAAACATTGCCACAATTGCCAATAATCAGTTTGCATATACTCATAGCTAGTTCTCACTGCCCATCAAACTAACCCTCCAAGCTCACTGCCTGCACTCTCTCCTTTTTCTCTCAAGAAACAAAGATCTTATCAAAAACATGTCTAAAATATTAACGATCACAACTCTCATTTCTCTTCTCGCAATCACAGTCCTTACAACCCCAGCAACTTCCGCTACGGACACTTTTGTCTTCGGTGGTTGTTCACAGATAAAATACACACCAGGTTCTCCTTACGAGTCCAACGTTAACTCGATACTCACCTCCCTTGTTAACTCAGCCACGTTCACCACCTACAACAACTTTACCATCAAGCCCCCAACATCGTCGGACACTCTTTACGGTCTCTTCCAATGCCGGGGGGACCTCTCCAATGGTGACTGTGGTCGCTGTGTAGCTCGTGCAGTGAGTCAACTGGGCACTCTTTGCCTTGACTCGAGCGGTGGCGCCTTGCAGCTTGATGGGTGTTTTGTCAAATATGATAACACCACGTTTCTTGGTGTGGAAGACAAGACGGAGGTGTTGAAGAAATGTGGGCCGTTGATAGGGTATGATTCTGATGAGTTGAACAGGCGTGATGCGGTGTTGGATTACCTGGGGACTAGTGATGGGTCCTACAAGCCTTTCAGAGTTGGTGGGTCCGGGGATGTTTCTGCTGTGGCGCAGTGTGTACAAGATTTGAGTGCGAGCGAGTGTCAGGACTGTTTGTCTGAGGCGATCGGACGGCTGAAAACATACTGTGGGGCCGCCGTTTGGGGCGACTTGTACTTGGCCAAGTGTTATGTTCGGTTCTCCAAAGCTGGTGCCCACTCCAACGGCGGAAATGGACATGGTAAGGTGTTGCGCCACCCGAGAGGGTGGTGGTTTAAGGTTTTTTGTTTTTGGTTGAATGTTTTTTGGTTTAAATTAATGAGTAATTAGTGAAAATCCCCATCTTGAATAATCTTGAATTTTACCTAATTATACACCATGGCAAATTTTATTTGTGAGAATTGGTGCTATAGTTTTACATGGTTATCTGGGTAAAGTTCAAATTGTTCAAGATGTTTTCTTTTTTAACGTAATTTCCTTTGTTTCTTTTCCTTCTTTCATTTATTTTGTTTTGGTTGCCCCCCTTCTGTGTGTATTAGAGAGTTTGAAGTTGGAAATATTTGTCTCTTGTCTATTTAGTGAGTGTTGGATGTACTAATTTATTTGATGAAACTGTCCCGCTGGTGTGATCCGATTTCTTGACGCATATTCAAGGTGAATGTGGTAGTGTTTAAGGAGATTCTGGAAAAAAAGTTAATTGATTTTTACCATTTCTTTATTCCTAGAGTGGATAATTTTAAATCTGTTGATGGATGCTTAGTGCTTCAATAGTTTTTCGCAGAATGATATAGTTAGTGGTTGTGTTGATCATGGGTTTGACATCAAATCCATATTCATATTTATATATCAAACGTTATTGTTCTAGATTTGATCATGTATCTGGAGAACAAAACCCAAAAGGAGAATCTCACAATCCTGCTGTATATAATTAATCTCTATTGTCAAAGTAGTTGCACACATGTACGTAAAGAAAAGCCCTCTAAAGTTCTTAATCACCACGCCATGGTACAATTAAGGCCCCACTTTTGAATTAATGCCTCTCTAGAATCAACGAAGAATCCAAGGCAAATGAAGTTATTATGGCCTTAGTTTTCAGAGTCTTTGGTCCAAAGCGTGTGAAATTCTACAAAGGTGGAACAAAGCATATGGAGTAATAGTAGTCGAATAATGTTAAAATTATTACTACTACAATTTCCAAAATGAATTGGACATGTTGTTCTTGAAAATACTAGCATAATCAATCTTTGTTGACAACTAAGTTGAAGCAATCAATATATTCTCTCTCCTTGTGCAGAATGATAGACAGAAATTATTCACATATAATTAGGCTCTTTATTGAGATGATCATTGGCAGCTTATAATTTGTCGTTGATAGTGAGATGGAGCAATTAACCTAGGATTGCTAACTGTCCTGTTATTGTGAATATAAGGATAATTAGATGTATCTAATTGTTTGATTTTTACTTTCTGCTGTAGATAACAGCGAAAATAATGAGGTGGAGAAGACACTTGCCATCTTGGTAGGACTTATTGCTGGGGTTGCACTACTCATTGTATTCCTTGCTTTCCTGAGAAAAGTTTGTGAGAAAGGAAAAGGTAAGCTACGTGGCTATCTTTCTTTGCATCTTTATAGTTCTCTTTATTTTGTTCTTCGAACATTGTCAAAACTTTTCAAATTTTTTAGGTTTAGTAATTGTCAATACTCTTACATTAAATTATATGTGTCATCTTTCGGTACGCAGGTGGTAAATAATAGAATTCAAGGAAAAATGATGATTCAGGATATGGGTTCTCTCCCTTACTTCCTCTGGTAATTTGCTTTGCATCATGCGGCCCCATTGCTTCCCTTTTGTTTTTGTGGTCTCGACTTTTCTCTCTCTATCCTCCTCTTTTCGAAGTTTATTTCAAATTTCTCCTAAAGAAGGCCTGAAATAATAGATAGAAAGATGTTCATGGAAACAGGTGTCTTTGAAACAGGTGAAAAGAAAAAATGTCTGCAATAAGGTGATAAAGCCTAAAGATTCCACCATCTCCTTACACCCACTTTAGTCTTATAGCATTGATGTTAGTTCTGTCTAATTGTTTTGTATAAATAGTGACCACTTTTGTGAAAGTGCTCTTTGTAATGCTGTAGTTAGAGCCTTTGTTTGGTGATATTAGAGTCTTATAGTTCGTTTTCATCCAAATCTTGTGTTCACGGGACTTGTTAAATTTCATGTCAATTCAATGTTCACTTTGCTTTGTATCTGCGACAAATCCTGCTTGTCTTCTTGTTTAAATCCTCTTTATTTCCTGTCATGCGTACTGAGCAAACAGTTTTTTTTTTTCTTTTTTTCTTTGCTCTTTCTCTCTCTCTCTTTCCTTTTTTTTTTTTTTTTTGTCAGAAGCAAACTGATTTGGGTACAGTAGAATATGTGGAACTAAGATAAAGACAGAGATTTAACCGATAATCACTACACTTAAATGTTTATACTTTCAGATGAATGAATGCATTTTTTTTCTTCTTTGTCTCCGGAATGGTTGATTTTGGTACGTATTTCGGACTGTTGTTTACTTGTTTTGAATGCCACCAAGGCATTTTTTTTTCAAAAAAAGAAAAAGCTCTGCGATTGCTGTCAAGTTGAGGGATTTGATAGAAGTGCCAAATCATGTTAGGCTTGTCTAGAGTCCAAGAATACTAGTCATGAACATTTAGAATGTTGTGATGATTATCAGCATAATGATTAAGACAATATTCCTTGCATTTTCTTATAACTAAGCTCATTAAACTAATTGAAGTCTAATCAGCAAATTAAAAGGGGACGATTGTAATGGATTAAAACGAGGATCAAGCATGATGCTAGTGGGAGATATTCACGAATAGTGTAGAGTTTTGTCTCTCTCCCCTCCATTATCCATAGCTTTTAAATTTGGAGCTTTTTTTTAGGTGGGGCTGTCCCCAATCTAGTCCTTGGCACCATTACTTTAATCCTCTTTAACACGCAAGGATACAAACCAAGATTCTTTCTCTCACTCTCCATGCGCCTGTATGATTGAATGAAAATCATATCCTATCATATCATGAATTATAATCCATATCACTAATTTTTTGAAACCCAGGGAGAACTCGATGACCTTTAATAAAGGAAACATGAATGAAGCAGCTAAAGTGACAAGAGGAATGACAATTTTGGGGGCTGGATTAGAAAATTGTACTTCAAATAAAGCTCAAGTCATGGACTTATGAATTTCCTAATTTTAGGATTGTCATTTTCAGTTATCAAAAAAGGGATTGTCATTTTCAGCCTCACCTCAACACACAAATATGTCAATTTATGTTGAATCATTTACTCATAAATTTCTGTCCTTTCATTTCACATGTACGATTCCTTTTCTTTCTTTTTCTTTTTAAAATAAAATCTCACAATAGTTTTAACACCCATCTCTGAAGGTCACAGCATTAATTTGGTCCAGATAACTATATATATATATATATATATATATTTTAACTAGGATAATTAGCCAATTGTTCCAAACTAACTCCAAATTATGCAAGCCATCAATGTTTAATTACTCTAGGCTGTAGCTTACTTTTCAACTTTTATGGTCAACATGCGCAGCCTATGACATAGTAATTGGGTTGAAGCAGTGATACTGATACACCAATAATCGCTTTATTTGCAAAAGAGTGACAGTGACAAAGAAGCTACTGGAACCCTATTGTTGGCCTTTTATGATGCTTTATTTAATGAGGTTTAATCAAGTAACAAAGAAAGGAAAAGTTGTAGTTGGATAACAGCGACCCTTGTATGTCAAAATAGCAACAAGAACCTTGTTTTTTATTCTAAAGCAGCCGAGATTAAAAATATACGAAAAATGGGGACGAAGCTTCCAGTAATAGCTAGGTTTGAAGATGGGGAAGTAAGGCACAACAATAGTTAGTAGCAAGATCCTGAAAAGGATGCGAAGGAAGGGAGTATTATAAGGAAAGTTTGGTAACAATGTGTTTGAAGGACCAAAAACAATTAATAGATTGGGAGTTTGCAAGGGAGAGGGATTGATAGTGATTTTGTATTGTAATAGTATTGAACTCTAAATAAGATTCCGTGATGAATGATACTGCTCAACTAACTGCATAGAAGGTAGTTTAATTACGAAAACAAAGGGGTGGATGTTTAATTGCTGCGTAGAAGGTAATTTACTATCTCTCTTTTTAACATAACATGTGGTTGTATGCTGATCACGGTACTCGATAACCAATATTGTGTTTATTAAGTTTTTCTTTTAATTCATAATGAAAAATAATGGGTAGAAATTAAAACGAGTTATAAATTAGTCATTCTACTTTCATAAAACGAATAAAGATTTTTTTTTTTAATTTGAAAAACTAACTAATTAATTTTTTTTATCAGTTTGGTCATAGTTAATTATTTTATTTCAAAAAAATGTTTTTTTTCCTTCATCAATTTTTCATATTTTTCCTATTTATTAAAATAAAAAATAAAAAAGAATGAAAATGATGAAGTTGTAAATAAATTTAAAAATACAAGGACAAATTAATTAGCTATTAAAACTAAAGAGATTATTTAATTTCTTTTGAAAATTAGAAGAACTAATTTAGAATTTACTTAAATTTAAATGAATAATCAACAAGCATAAAAACTGCATATTCTTTATACAAATCAAGATTTAAGTCTCAATAGTTACAGTTTGTCAACCGGAAGAAGTACTCCCCATTCTAGCCCCTCGCTTAACTTATGGGGGTGGCGGGGGTGGTGGTGGAATCCTCTCGAAGGAGTAAATTATAAATTAGTCCTTTTCTTTATAAAAAATAATTAATTAGTTTTTTTGTTTCAAAAATAATTAATTAGTCCTTATATTTTAAAATTTTCTTATAATTTAATTTTTTTCATTATTTGTTTTTAGAAATAGAAAAATAAAAAATGAGTAAAAGATTTAAAAGGTTTTATTAGAAAATATGGCATATTTTGAAATAAATTAATATAAAATTATGCATGATCAATACTGATTAAAAAATTAAATTATTAATTTTTAAAATAAAAAAGACTATTTAGTTTATTTTTTAAAATATAAAAGACTAATTTATAATTTAGCGTACAGAAAGAGAAGCAAAAATCTCGAGTCAAGAGGCCATGCAAGCACAATTCAGGAAAGGAGCGTTTATGGTTCGTTGCAATCCCCAATGGGCCAGGAGCTTCTAATTCAAAGTTCAAAAGTAATTACGGTTACTTCAAATGTCTTATACCCAGCCCATTATGTGGAAAGGTTTCCGACAAGACTGGGTTCATCAGCAGATGACCTAGTTGCCCCTTTCCATTTCTTTCTACTAAAACTTCTCCACCTGATCAGGATCCTCAATTGGTCCTTCTATGACAAATTTGACTAAGGATTTTCACATTTTGGTTTCCAATACATACAAAATGTCAGGAAAAATATTATTGATGGAAGGATAAATTGAGGATCCAAAGATAAAGTGGAGACCCAGTCGGTAAAAAGGATAGGTAATGACATAATTGAGAAAGTATCCATTGATTGGGGACTAATTTGAGGTTATCCTTAAAAAGGAAAAATACTTGAAGCAAATGCCAGATGTCTTGTCTACAACGAATAATACACGTGTCATTATATGCCTCCTCTGTCATATTATAATCGTCACCTCCCCTCTATTTAAGATAAACGGCCCCATTTCTTTGACACGTTCGATTCCTTCTTACTCCTGAAGAAAAGCACAAACCAAAAATCCCCAAATTTCCCAATCGGATTTCAGATCTATTAGGGTCTCCAAGCAGCAATGGCACTTGAATGGGTGGTACTAGGCTACGCCGCAGGCGCAGAGGCAATCATGGTCCTTCTCTTGACAATCCCAGGCCTTGACGGACTGCGCAAGGGACTGATCGCGGTTACACGCAATCTGCTGAAGCCGTTTATGTCGGTGGTGCCGTTTTGCCTGTTTCTGCTGATGGATATATACTGGAAGTACGAGACGAGGCCAAGCTGCGAGGGCGAGTCCTGCACTCCAACTGAGCATCTCCGACACCAGAAATCTATCATGAAGAGCCAGCGGAATGCCTTGTTGATCGGTGCTGCACTCGTTTTCTACTGGCTGCTTTACTCGGTTACTCATCTTGTTGTGAGGATCGAGCAGTTGAATCAGCGCGTCGAGAGGCTCAAGAACAAGGAGTAAGTGATGATGATAGATTGATGAGTGAGACAAGTGGATTTTGTGTTCTATTTTCATGGATCACTACGGTTAAATGAGACTTTAATTGGTGCTTTCAGATTCAGTTGTTACTTGTGTAGTTAGTAAATTTGCTTGATTTCGGATTTTAAGACTGATTAATATGCAGCTTTTCTTAAATCATTTTGGGATTTCTTTTCTGCTTCATTTCCAATTTTTATCAGAATTTGGATTGTGTGTTGTGGAAGTGTAAATTGATGAATATGTGATGTCTGTATTAGACAGTTTTGTTATCTGCTTTTTTTTTTTTTTTTGGATATGATTAACGTGGATGAATCTGTAGTATTTTAGGGTAGGAGAATAGAGTGGGCATGGATTTTCAAATTAGTTATGCAATTGCCGACACTGTGATTGTGAACTTAATGGAAGCTGTTACTTGTTCTGACAATGTCTATATTAGTCTCTCCTAATCCCTGTCCTTGACAACCACCACCATATACAAATAATGGTCAGCTAGGAAAATGATGATAAGATCCAAGGACTTTTATTTGGTCTGCTCTGAACTCTTCAAATGTACACTCAATCAAACTTCTAGCCTTATCAACGATGATGTAGAATTGGCCATTTGCTTTGAGTAAACTTTTTCTTCGTCATGTACCCTCTCACTTTATCATATCTGGGCTTGGAATTCTTGTTAGTTTTGTCATCATTACAACTTGTATTGGCTTGATGTTTCGGCAGTTGCATTGCTGATGAAAGATGAGTGAGAATTATGCGTGGCAGGCAGTGGCTAGGGGGTGGAGGAGTAGGCGAGAAGAGGGAATCAGTACCAGGTTATAAAGAGAGGTGGTGGTAGTAGTCTGCTTGGTGCAGAGTAGTGGATTTTAAGTTAGTTTGGGTATGTGATCAGTGGGTTTTGGAGTTGTTTGGCAAATTATTCTTAGCGTCCTGTTTAGTAATGGGTTTGTTGAAGTTGATCTTCTGTTATTGTGTTGTTCATATTCTCTCTCTTATGTTTAAATTCACCTATGCAAGGCCAAAGCAGCCTTGAACTAGCAGAACTATCATCTCATGCTGAGTCTCAACATTAAAGTATCATCAAGTAAACTCACATTACGCACAACACCACCACCGCATTTACCACATTAGTCAATTTGGCATCCTTTCTGCTCAAATTTCACTTCTTTGAGTGTTTAGTCTCGACTGTTGAGTAAAGAGCCTCAGGTGATGGGTATGGCGTGGTTAAAGCGAAGCTGCTCTGAAACTATGCGTTTATGAATACGAGGAGGTGCCACCCATTGCATTAGAGCTGGCAGGGAACTAGCATTTCTCGAACTTGTCTATAATTCCTCATTTGCTTTTCTCCCTTTTGCTACAGAAATAAAGCTGTTTTTCTCTTTTGCCCCTTAAGTTAGGTGGGCTGGGTTTCAGGGAGGGGGACTTTCGGTCGTGACTTGCATAATCTCTCTCTCTCTCTGTGTTTGGGTGTGTGGTAATCCCCACTTTTTATTCCTCACTCCTTGCGGACCTTGCCTGTCATTTTTTCATGTACTCTTGTGCAATGAAACGGCTTTCTATCCCGTTACATGTGAATTTTCTTGAAGGAAGGGAGTCATATGATACGCATTGTGCCAAATATATAATCATAGATGTATAACAAGGTTAATTACATCTCACGTATTGATTTGATTTTTCACTTTTAGAAGTCAGGTGCAGACAGATTTACCATCATTCTTGTGGAAGTGGGTCATTTTTTTGTTGTTGTTGCAGCTGTCAAATGTCTTCCTCTCACTCCTGACACAGCATGAAAGCACACAGTACACAAGAAAACGGTGCTAGATTATTTGCACCTGAGTTAAATCGAAAGCTTTAATTTGAAGGTTTGCTTCAAATGCGCTTGGGTATTCATTCGCTGTATCTAAATGATGACACCTACAATTCCTTTCTAGACCAAGCTCGGTTCTGCTTGTTGATCCATGGATCATGGCTACTGATGCTTATCATATTGCTAAATTCAAATTGAGAAGCACGGTCTGTGATTGATTTTCGACACTTATGGGCTTGATTAATGGAATTATTGACCATAACCTGTACCGTAACTTTGTGGTTGAATTATCACAAAGGTAATGAATGTGTAGAAGGGAAGAAAACAAAAAAAGAAAAAAGAGAAGTTGATGAGATCTGCTCTCTTATACTTGCTGCCTCGCCCAGGCTCCCAATCCAAAATTGAAAAATTAAAGCTTTTTAGAAATTGGCGTTTACCACTCTCCAGTTAACAAGGCAGCTGAAACTTTTTCTTTCTCGGACGATGCTAAATTATATCCATGGTGTTTCTAAGTAGTAACCAAAAAAGCCCTAAGATGTCTCAAAAATGAAGAGAGGGTTCAGATGCTTTAATCATTAAAAGAAATTCATAAAATTGAATTTCGTTACTTTAAAAAAAAAAAAAGGTAAAGACAATAAAAAGTTGAAAGAAGCGGACACCAAATTAGGGCGATTATATTGGCATAAAGAAATTCAACAATTTATGTGGGAAACCAAGAATTAAGGACAACGTGAAAGATAAAACGAGAAGCTCCTGGTTGGGTTATCTTCCTAAGAAACTCAAACAGAAAAAAGAGACGAGAAATCGTCGCATGGTTCTCGTAGCATTATCTAGAAAGAAAAGAGTAAATTATAGATTAGTCCCTCTCGTTTTGAAAAATAAATTAATCGGTCCTTTTTATTTTCAAAACTAATTATTTAATCTCTATCGTTTAAGTTTTTGCCGAATCCATCAAATTAATGCATAATATCTAAAATATTCTTGAAGATGTATATCTAATTCTTGGGACTGAGTGAGTCATTTGAGCATAATTTGAGATTGAAGTTGGTGTTTTATTGTTAATATGAATATGGAAAGACTATGATTGTTTTCTTCCTGTGGATCTAATAATTTTCAACACCGGATGGAAGGGAGCGTATTGGAGAGAAAGGAGGTTGGGAATGAAGTGAGCTGGGATTGCTGAAGCCATCATTTCTTTTTTGCTAAAACTGTAAAAGTAAAAGAATAAAACGTACAGAGAGAAGAGAGATTTGACGAGTTTGAAGGTTCATGATGTCTTTTTTTTTCTTTTTTTTTAATAACTGGAAATGGGGCTTCTCAATTGAATCTTGAGAATAAAGAGACTAGTTGGACTGGTTTTTGCTAACTGATTCCATTTTGGAATTTCTCAAAAAGACTATAGCTTTCGAAAAGTTTGATGGGGCATATTGGTTTTGTTGAGAGAAAAAATGAGGTGTGAAATAGAGTCTTCAGAAAAAACTTGATAGTGGGTTTGAACTTTATGACGATGAAGTAGACGGTTGAGGAAATAGAAAAAAAAAGATAAAAAAGAGAAATAACATATTATAAGATGACAATTTAAAAACAAAAATAATATCATAAAATACTTCAGCACTATTTTAATAAAAAATGATAAAAAAATTAATTTTATTTAAAATATAAAAAATAAATAATTATTATTTTTTGGAACAAGAAGAATAATTAATTCATTTTTCAACAGAAGAGGACTAATTTATAATTTACTCAAAAAGAAAGGGAGGAAAAAGGACAAAAAAAAAAGAAAACGGTTTTATTTAGCCTTCAAAAAGAAAAAGAAAAATCTCTGCCTAAACGGCAATGCTTCAGGCAGTTTTGGTCAGTGGGCCAGCGGAATTATACCGTGATGTTGCATAATTCTAGAGATTGCTTAACGCTGCAACTCCACCGTGTGGAACAAGTACCTTGCGCTGTAAATCAACCCTTGAATATTCTCAATCGGCAATCCAACGGCCAATAGCGTTTTTATTTAAACTCATCTTCTCTTCTGAGTTTCCAAACTCTAAAGTCAACCTCTTCTATCTTTTCTGTTTCATTTTATTTTTTATCACCCCAAATATCTCCTTTGGTTACTTTCCTCTTTCTTGTCAGAAACAGCTTTTGGTTTTCCCGTTCATAATTCTATAGTTGGTTTGGTTCCATCCCGAAGGAAAAAAAATTAAAAATGGATGAAATGAAAGATAAGTTCAAAGGTTTCATGAAGAAAGTATCTTCTTCCCCATCTTCTTCTGGTAAATTCAAGGGCCAAGGTCGTGTCTTGGGCGGTGGTGATTCTACTCCTCAATCATCTTCAGGACCTACTAATCCTCTCCATGCCCGTTATTCTCAACCTGTTAATTCAAATCCAAAACCTAAGCCAAACCCATCTTCCTCCCTCACTTCTTCTTCAAATTCCAAGCCTTTGCCTGAAGAAAGATCCAATCTTGATCAAAACAAACCCACTTCTGTCTACAAACCCACAAATGGGTTCGACCGATTTGACTCATTCATCACTACTGGCAAAAGATCTCAAAATGGGTATTCGTTGAATGTGTTTGAGTGCCCAATTTGCGGGCGGTCGTATCCATCAGAAGAAGAGGTCTCTATACATGTAGAAACCTGTTTCAATAACAGTGATGCTAATAGTTCAGTTGAAAGTCATGATCGTGTTGTTGGTGATGGTAATGTGGGAGAAGAGTCTAGTAGGAGTGACTTGGAGATTTGTGTTAGTGCATATGTGTCAGGGAAGCCACCGGAGGGATCGGTGGAGGTCGTGCTTAGACTATTGAGAAACGTTGTCAAGGAGCCCGAGAATGCAAAGTTTAGAAGGATTAGAATGGGGAACCCAAAGATAAGAGAGGCAGTGACTGAGGTTGCTGGAGGGGTTGAGCTATTGGAGATTGTTGGGTTTGGATTGAAGGAGGAGGATGGAGAAATGTGGGCCATCATGGAGCAGGTTCCTGAGGGAGAGAGGAATGGTTTGATTAATAAGGTAATTAGGTTGTTAGAACCAAGAAAGGAGGAGCAGGAAGAGCCGAGGGCTGAGGATAAGCCTTTTGTCACACCAGCTGAGACAGAGGAACAGGTTGAGCCAAAAAAGATTGACAGGCAGGTACGATGACGGTGTCTTCTTAAAAAAATTTGCACCTGTTTCTTGCATTTGTCGATAGTCTTTGCTAGATTTATAAAATCGTACTATGATAGACTTCTAGTATTGAATTGTTTATGTTATAGTTGAACTTTAAACATTTAAACCCCGAACGCAGTGTTATCCTTCAAATTTAAGTACTGGTTCAAAATTAGTTGTATAGCTGTGCAATAACGATGGACTAAGGGATGCCCTTTCTTTGCCACACTCAAGCATATTTAGTTCATTACAACAATTGGTTCTTATGTGAAGGTTTGATAAGAGAAATTTATATTGAAATATAAAAAATGTCTTTCACATGTAAGATTGATTGGAGAAGCTAATTTTGATTCAATTTAGGTTTGTGGAAGGTTTCTGCATTTGTTGAATCAATGTGCATAAGGAATGGAAACATGTCACATGTGAGCTTAGATTTGTGGAGGATTGCCGCCTGTGACCAGGAGTCTGTTAAATCCCCCGTTCCACTGCCTTTTTTCTGTGTCTTTTCTTCAATTTGCTTGCTTTAAGAATGCATGCTCATCTAATTTATTGGTTTCTACTACTCATCTAATTGCTTGAAGTAGAAATGTAGAATAGTAGTTCTCAATGCCCCTTCTCATTCCTTTAGTTGAACTACTTATAACTGACCTTTGCAAGCTTGCAATTATTTAAAGTGTTTACTGGCCTAGCTACGTACTTTCTGGTGTTTTCTCATGGTCACTTATCAGTAGTTAAATATGTTTATCTTTGTGGTTTTATTGACTTCCAATGGTAGTTTTATTTCCAAGTTTTTACTGTTTCATCTTATTTGTTGAATGTCTTCGTCAGTTAGGTTGTGTGCCACTTTCTGTAGCCATATTGTATAGGTATTTTCTTGGTGCACTCTGCCTATGAGTAAATGTCTTTAAGTCGTCTATATAGTCTATATAGCATTCTGACCTATTTATTTGGTTTTGTTAGATAAGGGTCTTCTTTTCTGCCCCTGAAAATGTAGCGGCAAAAATTGAGCTGCCAGATTCATTTTACAGCCTCTCTGCTGAAGAGCTGAAAAAGAAGCTGACACGAGGAAGAAAAAGATTGCCGAATCTCAGCTTTTGATCCCTAAGTCTTACAGAGAAAAGCAAGCAAAAGCTGCCAGGAAGAGATACACAAGGACTATTATCCGTATCCAGTTTCCTGATGGAGTAGTTCTTCAAGGTATCTTTGCTCCTTGGGAATCAACAACTGCTCTCTATGAGGTTAGTTGTCTTAACTGCTTTTATCTGACTCAGTAGTTGTTTCATTCATGGTTAGCAATGAAAATGATAAACACTCTTTGTATCAAGAGGCAGCATTTATCTAAAAGTGAAACTTCATAGTTAAACTGGAACGAACAACCTTTTCTTGTTAATGCCAAGAGTGTATCTAGAGAAAAAGAAGAAGAATAATATTCAGACTAACACGATCATCATTGAGCAGCAGGTGATGGAACATCTCAAAAAGTTCCTAATATAGAACTCCATAACGGTCAAATGAAAACAATTTATTCAGTCCAAAAGCAGTTTCGTTGCTGAAGTTCAATCCTTCAAAATTATTGAATTGTGCCTCAACTAAATGCTTCAAACAATTGCACGCATGCGACATTTCTACGCATTCTAGAATCCTTCCTCCTTGACCCACTAGTTCCACATGTATACATCCACTCTGTTGTAGTTAGACAAGACTCTTCACTGATAAACTCATAATTAAAGCTCCCTAGTCTTGCAATTTTACTGCTGCAATCATGCGAAGGATTGAATAATTTGTTCAGTTCACTCACAACCTTGCCTGGTCTGCTCTTTTTCTGGAACTTAGTGTTTGGATTTATTGAATTATTTGGTGTTTGACTTGTAATTATTTCAAGCAACCCTTAACACCATTTTCCTTTTTCTTGCTGAATTCCTCTAACTAACATCCCTCCCTTCTTATTTTACTTGACTATACGATCATCTGATTTGTTGAAATCGCTTTCATGCTTCCTAGCTCATTGCATTATTTCTCTTTCATTTTTTTTTTAAAAAAAAATCCGACGCTACTTCAACTCTTTTCACAAAATGTTCTAAATTGCTGTTTGGTCATCAAGATGAAACATTGTCTTCCCATGGAAAAAAAAAAAAAAAGAAAAAACTTGTCATCAACTTGTGATTAATTATATTGTAGTTTTCAAGAAAGTTGAGCTCCAAATGAGTTTCATTCTGAACAAGCCACTTCTGTGCATCATGTTGCAGCTGTTATTTTATAACTCATAATGCAAAATCTACTACTCTGTGAATTAAAATTGATGTTAAATTTTTTTATTTTCAGTTTGTGAGCACGACGCTTAAGGACCCTGGTTTGGAGTTTGAGCTGTTACATCCTGTAGTGATCAAACGGAGGGTGATCCCTCGTTTTCCTGCAGCAGGGGAGAGAACCATTACACTTGATGCTGAAGATTTGGTTCCCTCGTCTCTCATCAAGTTCAGACCAATTGAAACTGATTCATCTGTTTTTACAGGGCTCCGTAATGAACTCCTTGAGATTAGTGAACCACTGAATTGATTGAATAGTGTGATGGAAGATCACAATTCCAATTCCTGCATCAGCTTTAGTGTAAGCTTTAAAATCAACTTCATAAATTGGCGGGTGTGATAATCTTTTTTAAAGTTTGTACTCATCCCCCACCTCTCTTCTTTCTGTATACTTGAACAGATTATACCTGGCAAGAAGTGTGCATTATTGTACTCGTTTGCCATGGCCAAATAACACATTTGTCGGCCAATCTAGATTGTACAATAATTTTGGAAAATGTATGTTTTCAGAAAGAGAATTGTTCTCAAAAGGCTGTTGCTACATTAAACTCTGAATAACGGTGCCCTTCCAGACCTTTTTCATTCACAATTGTTTTGCTTTATATGTGATCTTCAAGAACTTGATCCAATTCATGGTTAGGTAGCATGAACTTGGATGTACACAAGATTCTTGGTGTCTCTGAACTCGGTCTGTTTGCCTTTAGATACGAGGACCACTTAATTGCATTCCATTATGTACAGATATCTATTCTTTCGTTTTTGTTATTATAATGATGCCACATCCGGGCTAGATTTTGTGATTTTCAGTGCAAAGATATTGGAGAAATTTGTGTTCAGTCACATTATCCAGCTGAAACAATTTTTTCAAACTTCAGAATGATTCACACCCTTATGGGAGACGACAACAGTGCAGTGGGCTTTCTCCAAGCGAAGGCACCTTGCAAAGCATTTGCGACTTGCTAAGTCTAACATATATTTATTAAATTTTAAGTTATATATATAAGTTTTATGGGTTTAATGGCATAATTCACCCTTAAACTATTAGGATTGTGACAAAATAAAATCTATAATATCAATTTGATCTATTTGGACCTCAAATTACTATTTTTTAGGAAAATTTTATCCTTTTCCGTTATTTTGAAAATAAAAGTGTTAACCAGGAGATTAAATGTTTAAAATGACATCTTTTAAGCATTTTAATTTTTTTTTAAGAATTAAAATTAATTTTTTAAAAGATATTTAATAATATTTAGCTTAAGAAAGCTTAAATTTTTTTTATTGTTTATGATCTGACTTTTGTTGTTTAATAAGTAATGATGTATAGTAAAAAAAAATTAAATTTAATTATTATATTTTTTTTCAAAATTAATTTTAATTCTAGAAAAAAAGTGAAATACTTAAAACTACATTGCTTTAAGCATTTTATTTTTTAAATTAAAATTAATTTAGAAAAAAATTAATAATAGTTAGCTTTAAGGAAATTTAAATGATTTTGTTGTTGTGAATCTAATTTGCATTATTATATAATTAATGTAAGTAGTGAATACATTTATTAAAAAAATTAATTAATTTAATTCTAAAAGAAAAAATAATTAAGCTATTTAGACATCAAACTATAAATTTTATACCAAATTTGATCATTTTCCATTATATGTATAGTATCAAACGTTAAAGTAAATATTTAAAATGACATCGTTTTTTAAATATTTCCTTTAACGTTCAATACTTTAACCGTCATATATAATGAAAAATGATAAAATTTGCTCTAAAATTTATAGTTTGATGTCTAGATACCCAAGTAATATTATATATCTTATTTTGCTATGATCCTAATAGTTTAGGAGTGAATTTTGTCATTAAACCAAGTTTTTATGCATTTTTTTTTATGGAATTTTTAGGAATTTATCTCAATCTTATACAATCACCTAGATATGTATGTGTTTTTTTTTTTTAATCGAATGATATTTTTAACAAATTAGTATTTGATTAAGAGTCCAATTAATTGTGCAAGTATTATTATTAAACACAACCTATAATTCTACTAATTAGTTACTTACTTTATATATATATATTATCTCCTTGTGACTCTCATTTTCTCAATCTATCCATATACTTATTTTTAGTTAGAACTTGAATCGATGACTTTTTATTACAAGAGATCATTAATATTGGGTTATAAACTCTTTGATGTAAAGCTTATTTTTCTCAATATTAATATGCCTTATCTGTAATTTTTTTATTTAAAAATTCATATTCACTCATTTTAATTCTCTACTTATGGAACTCATTTTCTCAATGTTAGGTACGCTTTTTATGATTTTTTTTTTTTTTCGAGAATTCATACCCGCCAAATTTTTAATTATAAGTAGTGTGTAATTTTTTTTTGGTTCTTTTTTAATTACAATTATGTTAATATGTGGATTTATTGAATTAAATCTATAATTTTTAATAACTATAAATTATAGTTTTTTTAATTATAAACCATAGAAACGTGTGGATAATCCACTAATTAACAACTAAAAACAAAGAATATTTATGTAATCATGAGTTTAATTATAACAGCGGAGAAGCTTTTCATTATCTTATGTAGACAAGCCTCCTCTGTTTCATGAATCGCATATGCAAATCATTGTGATCTGACTACGTACGTCATTTGCTTGAAGTTTGTACCTTTGCTTTGCTTGAAGTTTCCTATGTTTTTCTATGATAGGATAGGAAACAGCAACGTCGTTAAGAATCTGTACGTTGCTTGTACCAAAAATAACACGCGCGCACACAATTAGTTTTGCCAAATTATTTTGGTAGAAGAGTTTGGATAAGGAGTGCGTCAGACCAAATGATTAAACTAGCAATTATTGAAAAATTTAGGTATTATATCAAAACTAATCATTAATTATTCATCTCCTCGTATTACAAAATCTAAATTTAGAAGTATTTAATGAAAATTTTAGAGTAATTTCAAAGTAGTTATTAATAATTATTCTATACATTCATTTTGAGTAGAAATATAAATACAAAGATTAAATAAAAAAATTATATTTAAATCCATTAAAAGTTATTAAAATATCTCATTTAAGTTTATATATATATATATATATATATATATTAAATTATTCTCACTTTCTTTCTCATCTTTGTATCATTTTTTTATCTGTCTCTCTATATTAATAATTACTCTAAGATTATTTTAAAAATTCTGTATATTTAACACCACAGTTTTTCTTCTCTCGAAACAGTGTATGAATTTTTATTTTATTTTACTTTTTTTCAATCTATAGCTAAGGCATTTTACGAGTGTCTTTTGGAAGATTAGAAGATATCTTACAAGGCATTGTGATCACATATAACTAGCTCATTATCCATTTGTTGTGTGTACAACTAGAGGGGAAAAAAAGACTACTAAAGGCATACTAGACAAGGATAAAAAAAAATGACATTGAAATATATGGTCACATCTAAGAAACTAATAATTATCATCGCACGTGACAACACCAGCACCAAATCGAAAAATCTCCAAAGCTATATATAAAAAAAGGATAAATACATATGCATGTTTCATATTTTCTCCTTGAAGGTCTTCGTAGCCCAAGCTGGTTCAGGTGGTGCGATTGCTTGCTTCTTCTTTAAGATGCTTTAAAATTTTGTTTTTGATTCCCTTTTCTTTTTGGTTGCATTTTTTGTCCCCCTTTCTATGAATCTAAGCCGTTCTTTTACCCTGTGTTTGGATAGAGAGGAAAGTGAATGAGAGGAAAGAAAATAGGAAGGAAAGAAAATTTTTCTTCCTTTGTTTTGGGAAGGAAAGTAGTGGAAAGAAATAAAAAATATTAAACAAAACGTATAAATGATGGAACCCATTTTCCTCCCAAAATTAGGAGGAAAGTCGGAGAAAAAGCACAATAAAATTGGGAGGAAAACTATGCAATATGAATATTCTCATTTTTGCCCTCATCTCGCCTCATCCGTCCCTCTCCATTTCTCTACTCTTTGCAGTAAAAAATCACGGGAAGACTAATCGGAGCAGAGTCTGAAATTTGGTTAATTTGTTAGCCAAATCAAATCCGAGAGGAAAATAACTAAATACCCACATGGGCATATCCCGGTTAATCAAAAGCTTAGATCTCGCTTTCCAAGAGGCTTAGATTCGCTTTTATCATCGGAGAATTAAAAAGAAACACAAAAACCATGGTTGCAATCAAGAGAATCGTCCGTGAAAAAGAGATAGAATAGTCCATTTAACACGAAACCTAACTTGCCTTGCCAAATGATTGAAGGGTTTCTTTAAAATGATTGATGTATAACCGAAAATGTCACACGACCTCATATGAGCAGAAGAAGAGGGGAAGAAAAGGATGATGATCAAACCACTCGGTTAAAATGGGTGAAATCATCGGCTTTGCAAATCTTTTAGAGAAGGAGGAAACTATCATCCTTTACGAAAATAAACAAATTTATTGACGCAAATTCCCACGTTCCTCTACGGATTCATTTAACACAAAAAGCAAACAAAGTTTTAGACATCATCTAATAGATAAAAGTTGTGGGTATGGTATAAAAAACTTCTAGTCATACGGTGCAAAACAAACACAACCAAGAATTCACTAGTGGCCACTAAGAATTCCACATCTTCTTCGTTGGTCAATAGATCACCAATAATTCAAAAAGGCTTTTTTATGGGTTTTTTTTCCCTCGAAGTATGGAGAGAGGGAGAGAGAGAGAGAGAGAGAGAGATTTTGATGTTGTGTAATAAATATAAAAGATTTTTTGAATTTTTATTTATCTTAGTTAACTATGTGCATTGTAGGTATACATACACTTTTTGTTTTTTTGATATTGCTAAATAATATTTTTTAATCCAAATTAAAAAAAGCTGAGAAAATGATGGATAAAAGCAACTAACTTATTATATGCATAGATAATAATATATATTATACATATTTAAATTAATTTTATGTTGATAATTAATCTAAATTGGCTATTGAATTAATTAATTAGTAAATAGTTATCGATTATTCTATGGAGACAATTCATTATCCATCTTATCATTTCGGATAGATGCTACATGCTAGAATTTTATTTTATTATCATTTGCGCAATTTTAATGAAAAAAATATTCATACAAATTTATTTATATAAATGTATTATAAGTATTTAAATATAAAAATGTAATCATAGGGGTATTATGGTAAATATATAATAATATATTTTCTTTCCTTTCTCTTTTTATAATTATCAAAACAAGAAAAATATACTTTCTTTTCTTTCATTTCTACTCTTATCCAAACAACAAGTGAAAACTAGTTTTCTTTCTTTTCACTTTCTTTCCTCCCAAGAGGAAAAATCCAAACACGGGGTTAATGGTGTGCAACGCATATACATCATAGATTTTATTGTAGCATAGGTGTTTTTGTAATTAATGGTCTTGGCTTGGTTTTTTATGTAAATATGTTTGTGTTTCATATTCATTTCAACCCTTTTATATTTAACCTAATAACTACAACTTGTTTCTTTCACTTGTTCATTGAAACTTATTTTTATTGTGAATGCACACTCAAATGCATTGCATAGTTCGCTGCTCAACGTTTTTTTCTTTTAATTTGAAGACTATTTTTAAGCATTTATACGTGAGTCTTCCCAATATTGTGCTTTAGTCTATGAGGTTTTCAATAGCTTTTTTATAATTGTAAGGAGAAAAGAAAAAACAAAGAGAGAGAAAGGAGTTAAGAGAGAGGGACGGCGAGGTTTATTTTAGACACTTTGATTGTCAAATTCACCTTCAATCTATTCGTCTTGGAAAAGAGATTTGTTGTAATCACAAGCCATGAAATTATTACAAGAGGTAGATCGAAACCTTAAAATATTTGTATCTTTTGTGTGCATTAAATGAATTTTGAGATCTAAACGATTTTATTAACTTTATTTATGTAATTTTAAGTATTTTTGGGAAAAACATGACGTTTAATTTAGGTTAGAGAGGCTGGAAATTGCAAACTTATTTTTCAGGCACATTTTCTTGCAAACTTGAGTTAGCCAGGAATTAAAGTCGGACGACATGTCTCTCTTGTGCAGAGAGCAAACAACATATTGTCCAATTTCATTTTCATTTTTTAAGATTGAGCCCAAAATTACAGGCCTGCACGTTACTTGGAATTTTTTTTTTTTGGCTTTATTTTTTCCAATAATTTAATTAAATTTTTTGCTATGAATTTTTAGGTGAAAATTATGAAACATTTAGCATTATTTTTAGTGTTTTTCATTGAGTCTAACGATGATGAAATATATATGATATGTTTTCATATTTTAAAATAAACATATATTTTAAATTAAATTATTTTTATTATTTAAAATTTATTCCTTTAATTTATTTTTTTTATGAATTTTTCATCCAATTAATTTTCATTTTTATTTTTTATAAAATTTTATTTATTAATAAATATAATTAATTTTTCTCTATGTATGGATTTTGGATAAAATTTTATAATATGATTATTTTTTTAAAAAATAAATTTATATAATTTATATCATGGATTCTTGGAATTTTTAAATGATGGTAGCATGATTATGTGTGTGTAATGTAAATATTAAAAGTTTATTTCAGATAATTTGTCTTAATATTTTTTTTTAATTTTATATTTTTCTCTTTATGCTTCACACTCTCAACCCACTAAGTATAGTCATGATGTATTAAAAAAAAATGAATCATTATTTTCATTGAAAATTAATTATACATCCACACACAAACACCAACCATTTGTTATTAACTTTTTTAATATTATAAAACCAATTTCTTTTAAATAAAATAATTAAAATAACATTTTTAAAAGAACCACCTAATGATACAGATATACTTTTTTAAAAAATTAATATTATTTATTATTTTATGAATAAATAAATATAAATCAAATATACATACTTTTAAAAAATAATCTTCTCATCAACATTTTATAAGAACAAAAAATCATTTTTTCATTCATTAATTTTTATACAAATTTATACATTGTTTGTAACTTTACTTTTTTATACAATCTTATAAAAATATATTTTTAATGCATTTTTTTGAATTTTGGATTGAATTTTAAATTTAGATTATTATAAGTTTTTATGGAACAATTAACGCTTAAACAAGATGAATCATGTTTTTTTTTAAGTAAAAAATTTATGAAAAACAGAGAAAAAATAAATTCAATACAAGATTTAATCAAAAAATTTAATATATATATATATTTTTTGCTTGACCGTATATTTTAATAGACGTGTAATATAACACGAATTATTAAACTGAAATAATTTTATTCTCCCCAGCTATTAGCCTAACAACCACTTACCTAGAATTATACTATGTTTTTGAGAAACCTTGTATGTTACTTTCTTCAACAAGCTACGCAGCATTGTCTAACATCACCCTATCAATATTTCCGTAACTATTTAGAATTTTATGTGAAAAGGGTATTGATAAACGTATCCCTTATTCAGTGCCCTATTCAACACGACATTTCCATTTTTATGGGTTTATATTTATTGGATATATCGAAACTGTCTAGCATCTTCAAGGATACAAAACCAGCAAACTAATTAGGCAACAGGCAGGAGACTTAGCCAAGAAAGCTTCCTATCCTATAGTACTACAGAGCTGCTGGGATACGTATGCTTCCTACAGAAATTTCTTGGATAGTTGGCATACATATTCATTATGTAGCTTTTTTATCTGCTGCTTTTGCTTTATCATAAAGAATGGCAACATATATATACAGCACCAACAAAGCAAACATTAAATTATACTTCAACAATCTGTAATTTACGTGCTGGAATCAAACACCTTCCTTGAAGCAATATGGGCAACTGGAACAGGATCCAAGCCTACCACATATATATTTCTTTTCTTACACGACACTGCATTAATTAATAAATAAATAAATTAGGCAACAATATCCCAACGTGACTATCTATTTTTATTTTATTTTATTTTATTTTTGTCCCCATTCATTTATTTGTTTACCTAACAAAAGAAATCAAAAGAACTCGAAGAAGATACTAATTAATGCATCCATTATTGATAATTAATGGGAGTGAAATTACGCTTTCTTTTTGGCTGATGCTCTTTCCTTCTCCATCCGTTCAAATAGGCTTCCATCATAGACAGCTCTAACTATATCTTCGTGAAGCAAACCATTCTTGTCCTTGCAAAGATCGTATAGGATCTTCCATTCTGTATAGGCAGCAACCCTGCAATAATTTCCCAACATTTAATTACATTTTCATATTTTCCGAAAGACATGGAATAATATACTAATTACTCTTAGATTCTGAAAATTGAAATGAGAAGCCAACCATCCTCTGAAGTCCTTAGGTTCTCTGTTAGCCTTGAGCATTCCCATCAGTTCGTCTGATGTTAAGGAATTTGGATGTGAACGTGCATGTTTTCTGAAAATTTCTTCAAACTTTTCAGGAACAAACCTACAATTTTCTTACAATAATTAATATATGAACATCAAAATAGTAGAGCCGAAAAATGCATTAGTACAATTAGATAGCCAACACTAATTACGATGTTAAGCCGTGCATGAATCGAAATGCCCTAATTGTGATACCAAACAGGAACATCTTACATTAGCTTTTGATTTGATAAAATGTAAGCTAACTCATAACAAAGAGGACCTAGATAAAACAGCATCTCATCACCACCTACTAAGCTATATGACTCCATAACTCCAAGAAAAAAAAATGGTACATTAATTACTTGCTAAGAAATAAATAGGATCTTCTGGTCCAAGTGAAAGTCCATAAACCAACTTGAGCATTAATCATGGTCCAAAAACATCAATTTTTTTTTTTTTTTTTAAGAAACAGTGGCGGTACCCTGTGAATATAAGATTGGGAAGTTGGCAAAGGAATCTTCGATGCTAATTAGCTATGATAAAATAAGATTGAAATAATTCAGATTCTGCACCATGCTTAGCCGCCATATTTCGTGGCAAGAACTAATGGAATAAATGGATAAATTAGAGGACAAAATCCATGGGACTACAGGAATATAATATATACCTTCCTTCGCTGTCATACACACCAGAATCACTCCCATGTTTGGCCCGCTGGATGTTCTTAACCTCAATAGGGAACAATAGAGAAGGAAACTTCCCCTGTAACACAAGAAAATTTGATTAACATATAATTATATAAATGGCACTGGTATTAATTTGTAGACTGTCCAAGTTTTATATATACCTTGTACTTCTTCAAATAATAATAATAAATAAAAATCTTGCAATGGTAAGATTAAGATTTATTTTCTTATTTCCAGAGACTTACAAAGCACCCAAAATATTGAAGAAAAAAAAGTGACAATGCGTATTTGTTTCTCATTTGGGCAAATGTTTAGAGATTAATATTCTTTTTTTTTTTTTTTTTTGCTTGTTTTAATTGTATGATTCAGTTCTTTTAAGATTTATCAACTTAGAGATGGAGGTCATGCTAATTAAATCAACTCGTCCTTATAATAAACAAGTTAAACAAATTTAAAAGAAAAAGGAAGAAAAGAGAGCTAGGAATCTTTGCTTACGATCTAACAATAGTATTTCCATATATTTTTGGCTATACTCTTGTAGACGGACCATAGTAGCGTGCATATTTGATAACCTTGTGTTAGCTTCCAATTTTTCTCACCTATATATGGCTCCCCCATTTTTTATCACTTCATGCAAAAGAGTACTTAAAATAAAAATAAAGTGCACAGGTAAAGCAAGCAAACAAAACTTCAAAACTTTGTTTATATATTCTCTTATATGCTATTCTATTTTAATATTTCTGCCTGTGCCATACCAAAACGTCTGAAAGAAACATGGAAAAGCAATATCGAATCCCGTGATCATGGAACCCATTACTGATTTTTTTTTTTTTTTTAAAAAAAGAAGAGAATCAAGCAGGTTGAATTCTTAAAAGAGAGACAATGCGTGCATGTCGAATGAATTTCTTTTTTTGCAAGGCACATGAATTTGGCATGAGAAAGCAAATTTAGGTGCTATGAGTTCTGCCACTTATATCATTCGACTCTTATTAAATGAAACATACCATAATCTATCATGTTAGCTAAATTTAAATCATTGATTTTGAAATGAATGATCGGGACTTCATTTCATCAAATTAGCGGACGGTTAAAAACTTTTTAAAGTTAATAATTATTTTGCTTAATAAAAGAATCTAAAACACTAATTTTAAAATCAATTATCTGAATTTACTTAATATGATAATTTTATTTAATATAATAAATCATGTTATTTTTAATTTGAAGGTAGCCAAATCCTCATATATAGATCATTCATTTGATGAGTGAGTCTTCCCCGACACACTGACCCGGACACAATATGGATAAGCGGTCATAACCATATGTCTTTATCAATGCCGCGACAAAACAACTAGTGGATGTGGTGTCTCCATGAAAATGAGCCACAACATTTGAATGTGGTGTCTCTATGAACATAAGCCACGTACGACATGAACACATCCTTCGAACTTTTACAGTCGTGGTTCTTCAATCCTTTCAGTAAAAATTAAAGCATTGGCTTTGCGTTGGATCTAATTATATTACAAAAAAACTCGATCCCTAAATGTTACAACGTACAGAAAATGGCACTGATGTTACTATGTATGGTCCGTCGCAAAAGTTATTAACATGTTGTTTTCAACCAAGGCATGCAATAGTTTGCCACTTTAAAGAACTGGAAAACTAAACAGATTAATTCATAGATCCATGCTTCTGTCAACTTCCTAGTCAAGGACACGTTTAATTAGTCACATCACACTACTAGTCTGATATGTCGATCTCAATTATTCACGGACACCTATGGTAATTAATTATATATATTAGTATTAGTACTAGGTTACTTACCCTTTCGATACCTTAAAACAATTTTTCTTTTTCCTCAAAATCTCAACAAAAGAAATTCCTCTCGAGGAAAGAGGTAGATAGTTTTCTCAACAGGAGAGAAACAAAAAAAAAAAACCAAGAAGAAGAACAAAGTTTAGATTTAGAAATTATAGAGAGAGAGATATACCGGTCGAGTTTTGTGGCTGAGAGCCATATTGATCAGAAAGGCGCTGGCAGTAGATAACAAGATACCACAACCAATTGAACGAAAACCTGTTAGTCCACGTAAAATTAACCCATTAGTTAAAAAGAAATCTTTGGACAAAAACAAGAATGAGAAATATATGAAAGCGAGGTTAAATTTTTTTTTAAAAAAAAGAAAACACAAGAACACGCCTTGAAATGTCTCCCAGGGATAAACTATGCCATCTTGATTCCTATCAAAGAAGAAGACATGCTTCTGTAGTGCGTTATGATCATTTGGTACAAATTTTCCTGCATTGAAAAAAAATTCCCAACTTTAGTCATAAAACAAGGAACTCCTGAAAAATTAAGAAAAAAAGGAAACACAGCAAGAAGGAAGGAAAGCTAATGAAATGCATACCGTTTTGTTGCTTATCGGTTGATGATAAGGCGGAGGAAGTCATCTATGGTGGTACGATGGAAGTGTGAAAGCAATTAGAGTAAAGTTTAAGAGATGAAAACTAATGCGTAATGGATTGGAAAGGATATATACTGCAAGTGCTAAAGAATAGAACCAAAGCTTCCTTCGGGTCTCTTCCGTTCTACTTTAACGGATTCTTTGTCGCTACTGATTGCAGGATATTGCCAGCTATTTATAAGGGAAGGTGGCAGTCCGTCATGGCACACATAACAATGCCACCAATGCATACTCTTTATAGTTACAGCACGCATTATCTTTCTTTCTTTTTTTTTCCTTCCGTTTCAACTGCAAGATTAAATTATAAAATAGTCTCTTTAGCTTTTAAAAACAATTAATTCGTCCTTCTTGTTTCAAAAAAAAAAATATTTATTTTTGTTTTTTTATTTTGCATTTATTCAAGTTTCATTATAATCTTTCAGAAATTTAATCTTATTGAGCACATTAGATATTGGTTTTAGAGATTTTTTGTTCTTGTCTGATTAAAAGAATTAATCATCCACCTATTTCGTTGAAAATCTCATTTCAATTCTTTTTAAGATGATAAATTATTAGACATGTAAGAAGTTGTATTTTTCTTTTTCATAGAAATATATATGAGACTCATTATAAAATTCATTTACATATCTTACTGTTATGCTACATAGAAGAATATAATTTTCAATATACCGAATAGTTCCTTCGATTATTTCATTTATTATACATTTATGATGATCATATTATTTTATACTAAAGTTATTTTTCTTTTTTTAAAAAAGCAAGAAATGATTGAAGCTAGTGTTATACTCTTGATCCATATATATATATATATATATATATATCCTTTTTTTCATTGCAGTCCTTAATTTATTTATTTTTTAATGGAGTCCTTGACTTAAAACCCTTTCTTTCGTTTTAACTAGTTAGAGACATCCTCCCAGCCGAAAACTCATGACGACTAAAATGAAAGAGCCGACAAAAATCACGTAACTTGTCGGGGAATAAAACGGTGGCAATGTGAACACAAGAAAGAAAAGGAACCGAAGGGCGTGCGCTTTTCGCCTTCTGCTTTACAGGTGGGACAAATAATGCAGGTAACGGATTTTCTATATAATGCCTTGCGAAAATTTTGAAGACTTTTTTTTATAATATCTTTTCCAACACATATATATATACACACACACTATTTTCCGAAACTGTTTGTTCGAACAACAACGATTTTAAATAATGATTGAGTTTCGTAATTATCCAATTAATTAAATTGCGAACAGAATTGGTTAATCACATATTAACAAACATGGTGTATGTAAACAATGGTGTTGCTTTGATTTTCTTTTGAAAAAAATTAAAAGGCACTCGCAGTCTAAAACCATCTTCCGAACAAAAAAGGCATGGCTGTGCTTAACCTAAACTTGCATTCCTAATATGGTTTAATGCGCTGTCTCATCATTAAAAATCAGTTTAATTTTTATTGCAATTTGATAATTTTAAATTTTTGTTATCAATTTACATAATTTGAATCTAAAGCATTTGTTTTTTGATATTTTTTTTTCAAATTCTAATTTCTTCGTTATCTGTAATGTTTTTTTATTCTTAGTTTTTTTTTTTGCTATTATTTTTTTAAATAAAAAACTTAAAACATTTTTCCTCTATTTTTCGTGAGATTTTTTTTCACCTATTTACCTATAAATAAATCATTAAAATTATCACTAAACTTTGTTTTTGTTCTCTATTTAAAAAAGAGCTTTCATTTTTTGAACCTATCTTTAAAAAACTAAAAATAAAATAAAATTATAAAAGTTAAAAAACGGTTTTCTAACTCTAATGATTTTAAATGTATATTATATATTTGATTCAGTTGTGAGAATACAAAATCCTATAAAACATGTGAAGATAACAAATATTAAATAAATAGAGCCATATTTAAAATTTAATGATTGATAATTACAAGAATAGATTTATTAACATAAAAAAAGAAAAATTTATGTTAAAATTAATTATTTGATAATTTCAATTGATCAAATCCAATCAATAAATATTTATATTTTATTAATTATAGAAGTTGATTGTATGTAATGGATAATGATACAATACCAAAATTTGTTTCTTAAAATTGAAAAAAAATGTATACAAATAACAATTTGATTTATATGAAAAAATTTAAAAAGATTAATATTATAAAAATTTTAAATAGAAAGAATCTCTTTTGAAAAATAAAAGAACAAGCTTTTTTAATATTTTACAAAATACAAGAATAACGGTGAAAAAAATTAATGATCAACTGAATTGTTTGTTACAGATAATGAAAAAAATTAAAATATAGATAAAATTTATCTAAAAACTAATATTTAAACATTTAAATTAAATAAATTGATAATAAACATCTAAAATTATCAAATGGTGAATTTTGCTGTAAAACCATTAAAAATCAGACTAAATTTGTTCGGTTCCCCTGGCGCTAGCTTCCAACCAATTTGGCAACCTGCGGCACATACCCCTCCATCCAAAAGTTCGTGCGAATATATTCCCACGTGTGTGTATATATATATATCCAAAAGTTGGTGCGAATATATATATATATATATATATATATATAAGCCTAAGTTATGGTATTTCTATCAAATCAGTTTCACTTATAAAATACTTGTATTGTCTAGATCGAGTTTATTAAATAGCTATTTGATTTAACTTAAAACCTTCGGTGTTTAAATGGTACGAGAAAAGTAGAACTAAAACACACGATAGAATACTGTCTTTTTCTTGTAGATCAAGATTTAGAATCATTATATATATATATATAATCCTAAGCTATGGTATCTGTCAGATCAGTTTCACTAATAAATATTTTTATTGTCTAAATCCAGGTTGTTAACTGGCTATTTGAATTAACTTAAAACTTCGGTGTTTAAATATTAAAAGAAAACTAAAACACATGAGTAGAATATTATTTTTTTCCTGCAGAACAAGATTCAAAGTCATTGTGATCTGTGATTCAAGTACACCGTGTTGCACTTCTCAATGACTTTTAGCCGTTTTTTTTTTTTTTATTTCATCTGTTTCGTCGGTTTCTCAACAACTTTTTTCTCTTTTTCAATTGTCTATTTAAAACATTTATATTGTTTGTTTAACTGCTGTTATGCCACTTGGTTGTGCTGTCTAGTTACATAGTTACATTCTTACCCTTGCTTTCTTCTTTTTCTTCTCTTTTTGCTCCGCTTTTGGTAACTTGCTCCGTACTTAGACAAAGTAATTAATACTTACCGTTGCTTTTTCTGTTGCACCATTATTTCTTTTCCTTCAAATACGTTTGCTGTAAGTTTTGTTTAAAGTTATTTTTATTTTTTTCACTTTGGTCCTTATATCACAAATATGTTTTTTGTTTAGTTTCTTAAATTTTAAAATGTTTAAATTATCCTAAACTATATATGAATAATTTGACACATATTTAACAAAAATAAAATATTTTTCAATAGAGAGTGGATATTGCATAGTTAACATAATTTGAAATTGTATTAATTAATAAGATAATTTTATATGGTTATGTAAAGTAGAATTGTATCTTTTTTTTTATTAATTTTAGAACATATTTGAGGGGTATTCATTGTTATACTATAAAAAAAATATTTGAAATATTTGTGTTTTGTTTGATATTTTTGAATTAATTTTGCTTATCGAATTACTTAAAATCATTACAAAATTATTTACAAGAATAAATTATTTATTATTTTTTTACTCTTCATCCACACTCATTCGCACTATTTGCTTACACTCATTGGTACGGTGCATTTTCATTGTTCGTGACCAAATTTGTTAATTTTTTTCATTTTGATCCCTCATATTTTTTTAAAAATCATTTCGATCTGAAACTTCATTTGTATTGTATTTTCATCTCTGATAGCTTGGAGGAAAGAAAAACAAAGAGATAGAGAAAGAGAGACAAGGAAGTGGAGAATGGGGGAGATAGAGAGAGAGATGGTGGGGCCCATTGTGATTATAATAGTCACAATCATTGTCATTTTGTTCATCTCAAAAACTAGAATCTATTTACGGTAGTCACAAACTATGAAATGATTGGAGAAGGTATATTAGGATTCGAAAATGTTTTTGAGTTTTTTTTTTTTTTGAATTTTTATATGTTTTGTATGTATTAAAATGAATTTTGAGGTTTTAAACATGATTTTTTGCATTATTTTTGTGATTTTAAGGGTTTTTTTTTTTTTTAACAAAAATAAGGCTAGATTTGATTTTGAGGTGTCAAAAATTAAGAAATCTAACTTTTCATTTACTTTTCGACAAAAACAAATTCATCGAAAATGACAGATTTGTCAAAAATAATAATAAAAAACCTTTTTCCTAATCTTGGCCAATGCGACCTTGGTGATTTGTTTTTTTTTCTTTAATTTTTGTTCCAGCATGATTATTTATGTTTTTTACGCAGTGTGGTGATAATATAATATATATAATATCTTTTTATATTTTAAAATTAACATATATTTTAGATTATATTACTCTTATTATTTAAAATGTATTCTTTAAATTTGTCATTCTTATGAAAATTCTAATTCAATTATTTTTTTATAAAATTTTATTTATTGAAAAATATAAATTATTTTTCTCTATATTTATATTTTATAAAAAAAATTAAAAAAAAAATATATATATATATATTGAATTTTTAAAAATTTTAAATGATAGTAGAATATATATAGATAAATAATTATTTTAATATAAAAAATTAAAAATATATTTTAGATAGTTTGTCTCGATCCAGTAAGTATGGTCGTGACGTATATAAAAACCATTTTGAATCATCAATTTTATTAAAAATTAGGCATGCATCTTCATACATAACACAAATTATTTGTTATGAATATATTTTTTTAAACATTATTGCATCTTCATATATAACAACAATTATTTGTTATGAATATATTTTTTTAACATTATAGAATTAATTTTTTAAAAATAAAATAATTAAAATAATTTTTTTAAAAGAACCATCCGGTGATTCAAATACAATTTCTTATGCTAATATTATTGATTATTTTGTATATATATATATATATATATGCATATACTTTCAAAAAATAATCTTCCAATCATCAATAAATAAGAATAAAAATTATTTTTTTCATTTGTTATTTTTTATACAAAGCTACACATTAATTGTAACTTTATTTTTTGGATACAGCTTTTGTAAAAAATATATTTTTAAAGTTTTTTTTTTTTGAATTCTTCATTTGTATTTCAGTTTAAATTATTATAATTTTTTTTTATGTAACAATCAATACATAAAGAACAATAAATTATGATTTTTTTAAGTAAAAAAATTATGAAAAACATAAAAATTAATTGAATATAAAATTTTAATTAAAAAATAATAAGATTTTAAAATAATTTTATTTTGTTTGATCTACAACGTAGTTTAGGCAATTAGCTAGGGTGGTACTATGAGACAAATGTAAGAATGCAAACCTTTTCTCTTCTTCATTCTTGATAAATTAATATTATTTCTTATCATAGGGAGTGATGTTATTCCTACTCCTCGACTTGTTATTTGTACTTTTTTATTTTATGTAACAACTAATATGCTAGTATTTAATATGTGTCTTAATTACTTTGTAATTTTAAATTCTAAAATAATTTTGAAGCATTTTTATTTGAAAATAATAATAATAATAAGAAAAAAGGCTATACACAAACTAAAGAAAACCTATATTACAATAATTTTATTTTATCATAGTGTTCAATCAAAGGCTAAACATATTTTGATACTATATTAGTTTGAAGAATGATAAATTTAATTTTAATTGATGTGAAAACTAATCCGAATGTATCTCACTATCTATAAATAAAAAAAAAAAAAAAAGGTTCAAATTTTGTATTTTATAATATATATTTTCTTAATAATATATTTTAGAAGATCTAACTAGCGAATTTTTTTATAGAAAAAATTAATATCATTAATACTGCAATAGTATATAGTCATTATAATTTTGCACAAAACTCAAAACAACGATGACAAATATCATAATCAATTCTAATCAAATAAAAAAAGACTTGTCCGCTAAAGCAAAAACGATTGACCTTTTGATTAGTATCTTGTTCTCTTCAATTCATGAACTTTCAAATGAGTTTTATGAGTTTTTCTTTACATCCATGAAGTAATTTTTTTTTTTTCCAAGTGTCTCTAACTCAGGAATCTCCTGTCACCCCTTGTCAATAGAAGAACAGGCTGCACTAGCAGACTCCATTAATGAAAGAAACAAATTTACAATAATATGCTGAAAACTCCTTCAATTGATAGATTCAACAACTATACCACTTAAAAACCACTATAACTTGTAAATCTGTGTTTCGATCTATCATAGATCTTCTAATGAACCTACAATTAACCCAATCTAATAACAAAAAAACTCACATACAGAGGACAACAAACCAAAACAAATCACAAATTGTAAGCTGTATAAATCTAATTCTATAATTATTTGGATAACTAGAACCATCAGATCTAAATAGATCTGGAATTAATAGGAGAAAAAAAAGAAGAGAAAAGGAAATAAAGAAAAAAGAAAAAGAAGAGGAGGGGCCTACCACTGGGCAAAAAATGGCCAGTGGCAGCTTCTGCGCAAAGATGAAAACAGAAAAGAGTTCTTTGTTATATATAATTACCATACTTTTTAGTTCATAACTAGCTTAAGACCTGCACGCTGCTGCAGGTGAGTTGTTATTTGCTGGTGTAAAGTATTACCAAGTTTTGTTTTTAGATAACAGTGATGTAGCTGAAATTATATTTTTATTTGTGAAAGATATGAGTTAAAAAGAAATAGCCTTTGGTAAATTTAATAGAACAGTGCACAGCTTATGATCAATAAACAGTAGACATATATGGATAATTTGATAATACTAACATTCGCAAATTCTTTGCGGTAAGGAGAAATTGCAAATTTTTTATCAATCAAGATATTTCACTAAATCTTCTCTATACACCAAAATTAATTCCTAACTTATTTGATTTAGACATTTTGCAATCTTTTAACTCCCACAATGTTGAATCCAAAATTTAAAAATCAAAAACCTAATGAGAAACATAAACAAAGTTTAGCACCTTTAATTAACTACACCATAATACACATATTTTTTTTTAATCTTTTAAACATTCTAACCGCCTTAAACTCAAAGTCAACATATGTATTTTGGTGACAATTAGAATAGTGATATTTTTCATTATCCATAAGGAGATTGGACTTCAGATTGTTTACTTTTACAAAATCATAATTGGGTATTGTATTTGCATTCCTTTTCTTAACTCTTAGTCCTATAGCTTCTCCAAAACATCTCCGGGCCATAACTAATGGTTGCCTACTTCATACTCCACTCAGCAATATAGCTAGGATTCATTCTCTTTTTAACTCACTTTTGTTTTTAAAAGAAGAAGAAGAAGAAGAAGAGGAGAAGAATACCATGAAATAAATCACCTTGGTTAGTGTGAAATATAATCCCTACACTCAATTCAATTCGATAATAATGAAGGGTGTGACAACCTGTGCATAACATGAAGTTTCCTTTTCAACAGAAGCTGCACCTCTTGTAAATTTTTGGAGGGAACAAAAGGGCTATGTGAGAGTTAAGAAAGCCTCACTACAACCTTCCAGTATTTTTTATTTACCATCAATTAGATCTTACACTCTTGTAAAGTACTCATGAAAAAATCCTACACATATACATTTCAACCAATTATAGAGGAATGCCATCCTTCAGGAAAAATTCAGAAGATACAAAAATGAGTATTAAACATCAATTTTATTCAAGAAGACTTAGAATGTTCAAAGCTCAGTTAACTTGCCTCTGAATAGTCCTCTGAATGCGCAACCACAAACCCACCAACTAAATTGAATAACCTTAGCTTTATTTCCTAAACTCCCCTTCTTGTTATCTGTCACTTTAACTCCTGAGTCACGAACAATGCAACTCACTGAGTCATCATTCATGGCTTTCTTCATTAACTTCTTAAGCTTCCTCCCATTCACCAATTGAAACCCGTCCTCACTATCCACGACCACAACCTGAACCATTTCCTCTCGGATTTTCTTAAAATCGTCAATCTAACTATATGTAGGGAACTCCAACTTCTATTTGAAAATATGATTTGAAAAGGAAGACCTGATTGATTCTAGCAGGGACTGCGATATCTTGAATCGAGAGTTTGAATTCGTCGAAATTGTAGTAGAAATGGAATTCTCTGTTCGATTGAATCGCGCGAAAGGAGGCAGAGAGTTTTGAAATTAAACTGGATAATTGGGTAGGCGTTAGGGTTTGTAAGGTTTGAGATTTTTTAGGAATTCCTCTTCTGCCTTTTCATCCATATCTGCTGATTTGAAGAGGAAGACCCGATTGATTGAGCATCGATTGCAACTTCACTGCGATTTCTTGAATCGGGAGTTTGAATTCATCGAAATTGCAGTAGAAATGGGAGTCTTTGTTCGATGGAATCGTGCGAGAGGAGGCAGAGACGTTTGAAACTAAACTGGATAACTGGGTAACTGTTAGGGTTTGTAAGGTTTGAAAATTTTTGGGGAATTTCCATCGTTTTTGTATTGAGAAGGAATGGGGAGGAGGATTTTGTTAGGGTTTTAAAGGTGCGGGCTGGTGAGAGGAAAAAGGCAAATGAAGATGAGACCGTAGCATTTAAAGAAAAGGGAAAAGACGAAAAAGGGCCGACAACAACGAATTACCAAGGAATAACTGAAGAGGGCAACAAGGTAATTGCAGAAATCCATTCAGGGGCAGAAACGAATTAACGAAGATAAAAAAGGTCAAAAAAACAAACGAAAAATAGAAACCTTTTTTTTATTATTTTTAATTGAGGGGTGACATTCAACGAATTAGAAAATGTCAAGGGTAAAATTGATGCGATCCATTTGCAAAGGGTAACATTTAAAGCTCATTTATAGCTAGATTGTCAAATATGTAACTAATCCCTTTTTGTAGTCAATCAGCTTTATATCCTTTCAAACTTTTGTATGGATTAAGTGAGTAATTTGTGATGAGGTTGTTGAACCTCAATAGATAATTTAGTTTTTTAATAGCTGCTGAACCCACTAAAAAAATAATATATTCATTATTTTATTCATTATCTAACAATAATTTATCCATTTCTTTATTCAGCTAATACTCACTACATTATTCCTTATTCATACCAGTTTATCCATTAATTTTGTTTCCTTCAATTAAAGATTTTTTTTTTCAATTTTTTCTTTTTACTGAAAAGTATTTTTTATTACAATTTTATTTTTTTGTACAAACCCTTTATATATTGGGACCATGTAGTTGAGGTTACTAATTATGTGCTCTTTTAGCAGCTAGAAGTTGAAATAAATGTTACTTATAATTATTCCTGAAAGATTATTGCTTATTACGTCATATAGAGCCAAAAAAAATGACATTGCTTGCTAATGTGGTGTATATAGCATAAAATTAAGAAATAAGATTTCAAAATAACACTTTTTTAAAGGAAAAGACACATTAGTGGAACAAGAGTAAATTATTTGTTTATCCTTGTATACAGTGAGGATTCCAACTCTGCCTCTATAGCTTAAAAATTTTCAATGTTCTCTCTATGGTAGGAAAAAAATTGAATATTATTCGAGGGAATTAAATATCTAATTAAATAACTTTAATGGATTGGTTTGTTAGTAAAGGAGATTTATTTATTTTAAAATTTTGTTTATGTCAATGGCTAAATAATGTGTATTAATAGAATAAAAAAAAGATACTCATATTCATAAATTAATTATCCATTAAAATAAATAAATAATATTATTTTACTTATATTTAATCTATTATCTATTAAAGTATTTTTAAAAAATAATTAATGGATGACTTAGCAAGGTACCTACTTTTTACCCATCCCGTTGTCATCCTTAGACATGAATGCTTATTGACAGGTAGGATCGTGCTAGATGAAATATTTGTAAAAGAAGTTTTTTTAGTTGGAAGGATGACCTTCCAGTGATCAAATTAGTGTTTGGATGAAAAGATTAGTTGAAGGAGACTACGATGCACGAGTGAGAAAAAAGATGAGAGATTCATAATTCTTAATCTTATGTTTATTGATTGTTTATATAGTTAAAAAAAAAAAAAAAAACCTTGTCAAATTGTATGGAATGAGGGGTTGGACGGTCCTTTTTTTTTTTTTTAATTGTCAACAACCCATAATGCTTGTTAATAGGATAAATGTTATTGATGTTGACGGTCATTATTTATTATATGTACCCTCGATCTTTTATGTTTGGTGGATGTTGGTTGGATTATCTAAATTGTAACTGAACTAATTCTTCTTATAGTGTGTTTTTCAATGGTGCAAACACGTTCGCCTATTTACGTTTTGAACGTGGTTTTGTCCTCCAAACTCTTTCTCAAATATATCGTTACGTTAAAAAAAAAAAAAATTATATATATACATATCGCTCAAATAGAAACTTAACTAACAGATCCAATCGCATGACATATATCAACCGACTATATCAATTTGCACTTTTTTGCTAGTTACTTAGTTTAAAAAAATTGTCAAGCACAAGGAAGGTCTCGTATAATTGTCATTATGACGCGAATGACTTGTCCTTAAGGCCACAAGGCTCAGCTGGTCAGCATTGCTGAACAATAACGGTCAATTGTCAAGAGGAAACACACTGTGATTACAATAATGATTTGACAACTAATTATGTCTAATCGTAAGTGCATAATTGCGAGTGTGGATATCTTACTTAAAATATGATTAGAATTATTTTTTGTTATCTCGAATTTAAGAGAGAGAAAAAGTACACAATTTTGGGCACCAGATAGATAAATTTACATATAAATGGTATTATCATAACTTATTAAATCTTAACGAGGTTGTAAGAAAATAATTCAGTGTAAAAAACCTGACCAAATGACACCTTTAATGCTAAAACCAAAAAAAATATATGGAAACGAAAAGAGGGCAATTCAGTGCAGGTATCCCTGTTGATTCTCAACCGTGCTCAAGGTTTGGAAGCAAAGAATTCTATTGCTTCAGAAGGCACGGAAAGAGCTTTCGTTGCTTAAAAACATGGAGCACATCCATTTCTTCCGGAGCATCAACCTTTAACATTTAACATTTCGATTATCAATCCGGTCAATTATGATGTAGTGAATTGGACCGTCATTGGAAGTACTTTATGTCTCGTTACCAAACACACACCACACGTGAACTGCAACTGCAAAGTTCTTGGGTGCTTTGCTTATCAGCGTGACGAACAATAATAGCATAAAAACATGCGAGATTGACGTAAGTAAAGCTAAAGCAACCCTTTCTTGCTGGAGGCATATTTTCCTAAAAAAGCAGTTATCCGCCAAATCAAGTTCACATGTTGATACAACACAGTTGTATTTTCCAGAGCAGAGATCGAAGTGGCAGTTAAGATGGCTTGGTTTGTGAACACAATCTGTCCTTGAAGATTGTTTCAAGAAACGCATGTGTAGGGAGAAAAAATGGCAGTCATTCGATGGCATTAGTTTTCACACATCACCTCAAGTAGTCAAGGTGTTAATAAGTCATCAGGATCCATTTATTTAGCCACCATTTGATGGAACTAAGGTTATCTTTCTCCTACACAAGATTATAAATTGCTGGAACTAAGCCTGCAGGAGGAGTAGTGTATGTATCTATATACAATACTTGTTCATTAACTTTCAAATGACTCACAGAATACAACACTTCAGAACTAGCCCCTTTTCCAACCTTGCCTCTTCGTTTCCTGCACATACAACTCGTATGATTACTATATTTCTAGCAAATTTTACAGAACACATACATAACATAAGCAATCGCAGTGTTAACAAGATGCCCATCATTCAGTTGCTGGTGATTCACATTTTAACATCTTGCCTTAGTACCAGTGCTAAAGCATGAAGTTAACATCAGATTTCACTCCATCCAATAACTACTAACAAATTCCAATTAACTTAAATGATTTCAACCATTTTGAGCTGTAATCAACCTGATGCCCCCTGATCCAGATTCCAATTATTTATTGGTCCACACTTTATTTTTGTTTTTGCCTTGGTTATGTACTATTGGTGTTTGTATCTTTCACTTGCGAAAAACAGCACATACCATCCGTTTTTAACCACTCCTTCCCACCCTCCCCAGATAAATAAGAGTTGCTAATTTCATGAAGTTATTCTTGCTTTCCTAGAAAATCAATACCAAGTAGAAAGGATATACCAAGAACATGCAGAAGCAAAATTCACACACCTTCAGGAGGCTGAGCGAGCTTCCTGTTCTGTGGAGCAATCATTTCTTTTTTCAACTGGGTCAATATATCCTCCATTGTATGCTCCCTCTGCCAATTAGCAAGCATAGGGAATAGACTAGGCTCAACCTGTTAATTTAGTCACCAATTAGATTATTTTCAATCAACTGGGGTAAAAGAACTAAATATTACATTACCTACCACTCCACTTTCAGGATTGACACAGGTCATGTTTATCCGAGTTTGGAACCTCACACTTGGTGGATTATCTGGATAATCCTTGCCACAAAACAATTTTAACTGGTAGATACGCCCTTCATGAACAGTCTGGCAAGTAGCATGAGTCATTACATTATTGTTCCTTTTGAAAAATGATATAAAGCATACATAATTACTTTGAAGAATCATGTCTCATCATTCAAGGATCAAGGCAGAGATAGTATGACTATCCTGCCAGGCCACCAGAGTCATCAGGTGGTTTGCATTGCACATAAAACTAGGCATGGAAATTTGCCCCATTAGTTAGGACTCAGGACCCTGGACCTCCCCTGCCACTACAAAGATGGGTTTGGCAATGCTGTGGATGAGGAAGGTACTAGGATAAGATATATATGTTGATTTGGAATCAACTGAGGGGCAAGTTTAAAAAGATCCTGCCACCCCACCTAGATGATTACATATTTTATAAGGAGGGCTTATTTCCAGCATAATCACCTGTACACAAACAGCACTTAGAGGGAATTGTGATTTTCTCTCCAACTAATCAAAATCACAATCTCCCATGCACTCATTGAAAAACACACAGGCACATATTTTAAAAATCAAACTTTGGGATCTATCCTAATAATTTTGGGTTTTGAATAGATGTGATTCTGCCCCCCCACCACCAAAAAAAAAAAAAAAAAAAACTTCATACTGAACTAGTCGTCGTTAATTTCAGCAAGGGCTTCATGAAGTAAGCAAGGTGCAGACCATAGAGGCTCTTTTTTAAGTAAACAAATGGGCGACATTGGCTTCCCTGGCTTGTGAATGCAGCAGGTTATGGAGAAGCTGTGGGGGGAGGAGGAGTGTTGGAACTCTCAGCACCATAACCATTCTAAGACCATCCTCCTTCAAGCTTTAACCACCACGATAGGAAGCTACCATCAAATGGCCTGGAGATGCCCAGATATTGACTACAGATTCAAATGTATGTGTGAAGTAGGGGTGAACCTTTTAGATCTAGCTAAGGTTAAAAGAAATTTGAGACCTGATTTGATCTAGTTATTAGTTTTGACAATTTGTGTGGTACTGTCATATGATGTTTTGTATCTTTAAGTTATTTTTAAGTATTTTAATTTGATTTAAATTATTATGTAGTAGATATTTTAAGGTCTTTGGATAATAAATATTTAGTTCTAGTCAAAAGGTCTTAGCTATCTCTATCTAGAATGGTTCTCCTTTCCCTGCTGTTCCAGTGATTCTATTTCACCTTTCCCCTATACTCTTCCAATTTCCGAGTTTTATAAATCGAAATTCTTTGGTACACCACAGCATGGGAAATCAACTGCAATTTTCTTTTAGAATCAACCAATGCAGATGACAAGCCAAGACTGGCATCAAAGCTTATTGATTTACTGTGAATTATCAGTTCATAGAAGACTTGACAATGTAAGTTTTTGAATGACAGTCTTTCCTTTATTTATTTTTTTATAAATAAGTTTGCCATTGACAATCTAACACGGAAAAGAAATAAAAGAAAAATGGTTTTAAATGTTCCAAACTACAAAGAATAGGAGAACCTTGAAGATTTTAAAACAGTCCGAACTACATACAAAGGCAACTGGATTACTAATGAGTTATAAAGAGAGTATACTTCTGATTGAGAGCATCTAATGGCACACCAAGGTTGAACAATGTTGTGAAAATTTTTACAAGGGGAGCTGCAGGAAGAGGAAGAGATAAAAAGAGATTAAAGATACTTAGTTAATCAAATAGCATCTATCCTGAAAAGGTAAAAGGGTAACTGTTGATTCTAGAGGAAAAATACAAGTAACTGACTTGCTGTGAAGCCGAGGAAATTTTAATTGTTTGAAATGACATCCAATTGAATTTTCAGGAAAACAGATTCACAAATGTTGATTTTCACGAGTACTAAAGGTTTATATATGGATTGACTAATGACATAATACTATAAGAAGGATAAATCATTCTTGGAAAATTTTTTGCTCTGCTCACATGGATGTTCAAGCTTGAGAGGGTTGCTGCTTTGCCAGTCAATTACAGTTTGCATCCTATAGTAGCTCATTATGGCAGTGAAAGAATGTTAAAACGTTATAGAAAAGCACAAAAGGGATGAACTCATATACAGTAACTTTTTGATAGATGAACCCATATATATGAATCTCCTCTAGGAAACTTTAAATCGATCTATACTGACAGTGAGATGTAACTAACCCCCCTTCACAAACCACAACACCCACCCCCCAGCAAAATTATGCGCCCACAGTCCACACCATCTAAAGCATGAAACACATCTATAAAAAATTTGGCATATTCCCAAAAGGTCACGAATGTACACATCTAACCGATGAAACGAGTTGGCAACATGAATCATAATCTACCACTTTGTATGTAAACCAATCGTGTTCCCAAAACAAAGTTCATGCATTCTCAATTCGGCATGCTTAAAACATGAATGTGCATATTGAAAGAGAAAAAATATAAAGAGCGAAAGGAAAAGAAAACATACATTGGCGGGACCAATTATAGTTCCTGTCCATGACTGCATGAAGATATCATCGGCATCATCCATTCCATAACTGACAGTCCCATCTCCGATCCCCTTTTCCCCTCTCTCGAGCTCCTCTAGTAGTCTGAAGTTCCTAGGCACTGCAGAATACAGTAATATTCAGTTACAAAAGATTAATCAAGTATGCATGCATTTGTAGAAATCATCAAAGAGAAAAAGAAATCCACCTTCCACTCCTTCAACTAAAATAAACCTTGCTACATGAGAAAAGTGCTACTACCAAACAGAGAGAGAGAGGGTAGTTACTGATCAGGATTTGCTGACATGCGAGGAAAATGATCGGACAAAAATATGAGGTATTTCATTAATACTATTTTTTATCAAGAAACTCACTTGATTCACTACACATAAGCAGGATTTCATTTTTCCACTCCAGGGACAATTTGCATCATTGCCCAAATCAGCAAAAAAAATCAATTGTTTCGGGACCTCCTAAATCTGATCTCTTTCAATTCAACCTACTCATACCATCCAACTTCTGCCATTACACACATATTACATCCCATATTAAAATTATTCTCTAGTGTTAAACCAAAGAGATGGAAAGCTGGCCCTTGGTCATGATTTGTAAAATCTCAAAATGCACGAGTAAAGCTTAAGCGAAGGAGCCTGCTTGTTTTAGGCATCTGCTCTTTCTATAACAGTACATTCCACATATTGCATTTCATATCTTGTAAGTCATTACATTCATATTTTGTCATGTAAAGGAGTGAAGAAAATAACATTCAAAGGGAGAAAACTACATATAGAGAATTTCTTTATGCTGAGTGCATAGCATAATATAAATGCAGTAAAAGAAAACCCAACTAGCCAAAACATCAAATGTCAAACCAGTCCAGCACATCCAATTAGGAAAAGCCTTATAAGAAAGTCTAAGAAAACAGATCGTCTTCAATTATAACTCAAAAACCCTAACCAATTGCAAACCTAAAAGCAAAAATCCAACACAAACACTCCACCAGTACTGCAAAGTGCAAAGAAACATAGAAAACCAGAAATCTAACCTGATTTAAAAAAAAAATTTCAACAGAATCCAACGAAGAAATTAAGAATTTTTTTGGCCTTAAAAGGTAATCTTACCAACGACGCTTGATCCTTCAGAACCCATTGATTTTGAATGTTGAATTCAGCTAAAGGAGGTAGGATTTCTCTTTACTATTATAGAGGCAAAAGAAGTATAGAAGTGATCAGAGAAAAGAAAAGGGGAAAGTATGCAGTCCCAGTCCTAGTCCGACAACTGTTTCACAAATCTCAAGTCGAACAGGTCAGATCGGGTCCACTTGTTTAGTACTCCTACTTTAATTGCATAGTTGCATGTCATAAATGGGAAGTACTAATACTGCTATTTTTTATTTTACTTTCTCGGATAAAATTTGCTGGTCGGCTCAAAAGGATACAAGAGTTAATTATAATTTAATCCATATGGTTTGACAAAAATCAATTAATTATTCTATATTGTTTTTCGAATTATATATTTAATTTCTATATTTCAAAATCTTTTGATTAAGAGTTGATAGAATTTCATTTTGTGTACTTCCATAATTTTAACAACTAAGAGGCCAACTCCTTCGAGATCTTTATGGATATAAGAGTGGTGTTGTACGTGTTCTTGAAATCTAAATTATAAAATTTCTTTGGATTTGTGCTTTTCTTAGAAAGAATTTTTAGTTTGTTTGTCGCTTGCAATTTCTCTAGATATTTAATTGATTCCTTGATGTAAAATATGGATTTGAAATTGATTTTTACGTGAATTTTATTTATTTATTTTGTACTTAGATTTTATGGGTTATTAATCTTTAATATGTTGGAATTGTAGCAAAATCAATAATGAATTTGTTATGGAGATACTGTTCAAAAATATAAAGAGAGAAAAACATGATGATAATATTACTATCGTATGAGAGGAAGTCTTTTGACTTGAATTTAGATTACAATTTTTACGAGACAAATATGTATAATAGTCTAGAATATAATTATAAAGACTCAAATCATTAATACATTAGATTCATTTATGTATTTAGAATAATTAAAACTGACTTTTCAATAAACTCATTTTTACATTATTTTAGATTTTAAAATTATTTCCAACACCTTTCTTAATTTTAAAGGTGATGATAACTCTTTAAAACTGACTATTCTTATCTATTTTTTCTTGTCCTGTGGCTGTTGCCACATTTCTTTGGCCCGAACATATCTTTTAAGATGTGGCTCTACAAGTGGCCAATTTATTTTGACTCAATTCTTCATCAGGCTGCTACCTTCTCCTTCATAATGGCTTCTTAGCCATTTTTGGCTAATTTTTTTATTTATTTATGTGTGGATGTTGTTCTCCATCAAATCTCTTTTGGGTCTACTGTCCATTTGCTTTTGAAATTTATCCATTCTTTCTACACACATGCTTTAATCATTTGAATGCCCTATGAATGCCTCGTTAGGCCAGAGATACCATGCTAAAAAAATATAAAGAGAAGAGAACAGAAAAAAAACATGGTAAAATCTCTTACTAATGTTATATCATATTATTTTCGTATAAAAAAGGAAGTCTCTTAATTTGAACTTATAGATTACAACAAAAAAATCGCTTCACTTGAACTTATATTACAATTTGAACTTAGATTACAACTTTTATCAGACATATACGTATAAATATATTTATAGTAGACTATAATAGCGACAGACTTACATCATTAATACATTATATTTATGTACTTAAAATAACTAAAACTGAGTCTTCGAAAAACTCATTTTTACATTATTTTAGGCTTCATAATTATTTCCAACATATTCAAGCATAACTACAATCTTAGACTATGTATATAACACATTATAATATAATGCATATTGGTTAATGCATCCATAACTAGAACATCGGGGCTCTTAGTGGAACTCCTTTTCTTGATTGCTTTAGTTTTCGCCTTTTGAGATGATGAAATCGGCATTCATCTTTCCTAGGCTTGCCTCCATAAATGGCAGTAACCTGAAAATGTTTGGTAAAAGGATTAATTACTAAAACCACCCCCAGTAGTTATATGCTATGCATACTTGAAGCCATTAATTTTACATAAATCAATTAAAGGGAAGAGTATATACAGAAACAGGTGGCGCACCTTGCATGCAATACTGCAATAGTGTGAATTATAATCTTGCAAACTTCTGTCACAGACAATACATCTATACTCCCTGGAAATAATTTGCTGCTGTTGGTGATGATGATAGCGGTTCCTTTTCTTCAAGAATAGCACTTTGGCTTTATTCGTAAGATAAGTCTGTGAATAATTAATTATATTCTACATGTCAGCAAGACGGCATAATTAACTACATCTGAGTCTAAACTTATATAAATTAATTAAGTGATTGCATGATTAATCCTTATGTGTATGATCTCAAGTATTTATATGCCCCGTAGCTAGCTAGTTTAGTCGAAAAATTATTTGATGTGTTGGAGAATGGTTAAAAATTCAATGGAGGGGAGGGGTTGTACCTAACTACTGAAACAGAGGGTCAGTCACACACTCGACATTGATGCAAATAAGTCTACAGTAAGTTTTTTTTTTTTTACTAAGTAATCAAAAGTTCAAAGAGTAATTTTTTTTAAAAAAATTTCTTGTTAAATTAAATTTCAACATAAATTGTGATGAGTTTAAGCCAGTATAAAATCTAAATGACATATTAAAAAGAATATATAATTATATAATCTTGTATAGGCAGAAATTATTAGATGCTCCAGCTAGGAGCATTACTTCTCCACACATGAAAATGGAACCTACCGTGATAACCATCTATAAATTCCACTCACATATATAAAAGTGGAAATATAGTGTTTTAAAAATACCTAATAATTCCTTATATATACGTATATGATATAAATCTTAATCTTAATTAGATCTATCAGCTTATACTTTTGTGTACTTTATCTTGTAATTCCATATGTTATTATGAAAACCATTGTTTATCCATGCTTGCAAGGGCAGAACTAAGTATTGTTTTGGAGGCTGTGGCATCTTCAAAGTTTGAAAATTTTCAATTTTATTCTTTTTTTTTTTTTTTTTTAATATAGTTTTTCATAATACTCAAGCATTTGGGCTCCCAAAAATGTCATATTCTGATTTCAATCCTTCTAAATTTAAATCGTTTTGAAATTCATCCCACTAGTTTCTGATTTGGGAGCCCAAATGCTTGAGTAAGGAAATGCTTGCAGTAAGGAAATGCTTAAATAGACAATGCACATGTAAGAGAATGCAACCTTGTAAATTATATCATCAAAAATTGAGAATAACATAGGTCAAATTGGTTAAGAAATTAAAAATAACCAAAGTTGATATGCTGCTTCAGTTTCAACATCATCAACATATTGGGACCGTTATTTTCAAAACTATATAAGATTATATATATACAACCTTGAGACCATCATTTAATGATTATAATCACCTAGGATAGGAGTCAGAGGAAAAATGAGGGAAAAACAAATATAGAAGACCTGTATGCCAGAGCAGTTGAAAAGCTTGCACAAGTCTTGCCGATTGATTACATCACTATAGATATATCTTCGAATCTACAGCACCAGGGAAAAGATATATGCAGAAGAGAGAATATTTCAAATTCCACAATAATGTCATTCAACAGGACAGATTAAGTAAGAAGAAATTAATGCAATGGAGAGATGATGCACCTTGACGTGCTTATGGCGAGCATGGGCTGGAAGGCAATTTGAACACAAAGCAGAGTAGCAATCAATACAAAAACGATCCAATTTTAAGCCTGGATGAGTGATGCATGTCTTGAAGAAGATGGTGTTGTACATAACAACTACCCATTGCGGCACCAGAGCATAGTTTTTCTGCAAAACCATTAGTTTATTCATGCTGAATCATAACAAGCTCCCTCCTTCCAAAAACAAGAAAAACAAAGAATACCCATTGATCTATGAATAAATTTAAGGAGCTTTTATGTTATGAACAAGAAAATTCAGGAAAGTAAAACTTCCATAAGAAAGGTGAAGGAGATTGCTAGGCGTACTTCATGTTTAGATGCATGGAGTTGTTTGATTTCCACAACTTTTTCCATTGTTCTTCGATCCTCTAATAAATTGAAAGAACCCAAGTTCGACGTCTCTGTCATGATTTTGGATCATTTATATGCTACAGTGGCTTGGCTAGCCATAGTTAAAGTCAAATTCCCAGTATGATGGATTTTTAATAAGATTTTGCCACGCCTTTCAGAAAATTTAGTTGACACCGCATAATAGATAGGGTCCATTATTTCCGCCACCACCCACCCCCAAATAAATTAATTATAAAAAGGAAAAAGAACAAAAATTTAGACCTAAGCCTTTTAATTAATTTAGGTAAAAACCTTTTAAATGTTCAACGGATTTTTATGTCTAGACTTAAATGATCCGAGGAAGATTAAATTAGGCTATGAGATATTACGATATATTTTATGATTAAGTAAAATCATGAAAATAGAGTAACAATTTTCTTCTAACTGATTTTTTTTTTTTTTGATAAAATAGACAATAAGAAAATATATTTCCCATGCATGCTTCCTTTTTTTTTTTTTTTTTTTGGTTTGATCGATGCAGATAGTTTGGACTAACATTGGACAATGCCAAGACTCATTAAGCCCATCTCTTTTATTAGTTTAAAAACAAGCTATCCACACTCTAACTAGCTAAAGGATTAATGAGATTATACTTTTCATGGTGAATCCTGGTAGCTTACATTTTTAAATTAAAAATTGTTTCTATCACAACTAATTAAAAAAAAAAATGTATTAGGATGCAACCTTGCAAATATGAGAAAATGTTGCATTCTGTCTACCTAGAGTGCCTTTACATGAATGCTAAAATTTTAAAAATAATTCTCCCAACATCCTTCATTTTTTAAAGACATAACAAAGGAATTGAGTGGGAAAAATATATTCTCCAAAGGAAAGAAAAAAAATAAAGTGGGAAACTATGGATACTCTAGATTCTAATTATGCTAACAATAATATTTTGTTGAGAATGTAAAATTATCTAGGAAGGTTGCCTAAACTTTAGTTCGTCTAGTTGGTGATGTTTGTATTAACTAGCATGGTAGATTGGATTAAATTATGCCGACATTTTTTTTTGTTATATTATTATTTTTTTTTTTGTGAAATACTATACTAAGCCTCCATTACATTCTCGTCATTCGTGCCGATCGTGACATTAAAGGCAAATACCTGCTGCTAATTATTCCCTACACCAAATTGACTTAAAACATTCAAACAAACGTTATTTTTCAGCGTTCTCCCATTTGTTTCTCCTTTTCCGCTTTTATGCATTGGTGAGTGCATAACTCCGAAGGTGTTAATTTTACACCTAACTCAACTAACATAGGTACCGAAGTGAATGTCCTACATCAGTAGCTGTTAAAATAGCTAAAAATTATTTTATTTTAATGTCTTCTATTATTTTTTATATTTATCAAAATATATCAAATCAAAATTGAATAAAAATTTATTTAATTTTATCATTTTTAATAAAAATTTTATATTTGACTAATTATTCTTTATATTTTCATAAATTTTATATTATTAAATATTATTTATTTATCTCTATCCATATTTTTACCTAAAAATTTATTTTGTAAATTGAGGTAGTGTTGCAAATTTGAAAATAAATAACCTAAAATAGAAATTAGTTTCCTAATTAAGGTTTAACGGTAATTTAGAAAATTGTTTCCTAATGTGGGCCTCCTAAAATTATCTAACTTAATTTATTTAGATAGTTCAAATTAATTAATTGGACCAATAGGTTTTAGTAAAAGTTTGAAATATATTTTGGTTGGAGGATAAACATGAACCATATTGGATAAAGATGAATGTTTTAAATATAAAGATTAAAAACTCACATGTAAAATAACTTATAATCCTTGGAGGATCAAAAAGTAACAACCTAAAGTCTTTTAGGAACTCATTGCCACATCTCATTGTCATTGGAGGACAAGGAAACCTCTCCTATATATTTGAGAGAGAGGTGCGACAAAGATAAGGTTTTTAAGAGAGAGAAAATTTGGTACAAAGAAACAAAAAAAGGAAGGAACATGACATCAAGTCAAAAAAAGAGGAAAAATATTTTTCTCCTAAAAACTCCAGCACATGCCACCTCTTCTCTCTTTCTTTGGGTTATCGCAAAATTACCTTGATTAGATTTCTATAGGGAACACTAAACAAGTCGGAAAAGGTAGAGCTAGCACTCTATCAATTTTGAGTGCTTCTTTTATGGGTGCTTGGACTGCATGGATTATCGATAAAGATCCGATTCTTAGACGACTCTTTTCTACAAAGGTTTAAATCTACATTACAAGAAGTGATTCTTATTTAAAGCTTTAGTTCATGAATATATGGTTAGTTGATTCAATGGCATGATCTTGAGTCTTTTAAATGGAGGAAATTTTTTTGGTTTTATTTTGCACCTCCATAGGATGCATGATCTTTCAATGTTTAATGAAAAATTTATTTAGTAGTTTAATCTACTTTGTACAAATATGTTTAATGAACTAATAAAATGATTCCTTGTTATGATTTTTGTAATATGTTTAATTGAAACTTGTTTTTAAATAGTTGAATATATTTTATGTAAAAATGTTTTGACTAATGAATGAATTAAATTTCTAGTTATGATTGTTATTTCTATTAAATGCATTGGTTTTTGGAAATTAATGGAATGCTTTCTAATTTAATATGTTTATATACAAGATGGACCTAAACAATACATTAAATTAATTAAGTAAATTATTTGTTACGTATTTTATTTATATTCTAAGTAGAGCACATGTGACTCGGTGTCTCATAGTCATTACACTTTCAATGTGAGGCATTATCGAAGCATTCGGGCCTACTTTAGGTCCTCGATCGAGGATGTTACACTCTGCATGTAAATAATATCAAATGAAGACTTACTAGTAGCATTATGTTTTGGATTATTGAAAGTGAACTTAGCATGTTCCAAAGAAGCTAATTAAGAATTTTTCAATGAAGATAATCTATCTAACTTGTATGTCTCTATCAGTTTGCTTTGAGTATTCAAGAACTTTGGTGATTCAAGATTTGAATACGTAATGAACTCTTTGCTTATCGGATACGATTTTCAATAATTGAGAGCTCTAACAAGTGTATAAAACTCGTCATAGGTTGATCACTTCAACCTTGCATCACTTAACTTCATCCTAAAATATATATTTAGCTTTTTTTTTCTTAGTATAGAACTCCTCTTATGCTTACTCCATATGCATTAGAACTCCATCTTAAATAGCTTATCAAAATTAAGAAGAGCTTACATTGGTGTAGTGCTCAACTTCTTATAATTAGAGAAAAACTCTTTTAGGTCTCTTTATCATAGTTAAACTTTTCGTTCTTCATAAACTCAATAATCGAGGTAACTAGACAACTAAAGTTGAAAATAAACCTCTTATATAAGGTGGCCATGTCATGAAAACTCTATACTTCACTAACATTTTTAGAGGTTAATCAATCTTGGATGGCTCGATCTTTTCCTAATCTATATAGATGCCTTTTGCATTGATAACATAGCTGAGGAAAAACAATTTGTCAGTCATAAAGCTATATTTTTTCAAATTCACATACAACTTGTTCTCTATTAGCACTTTCAACACTGTTTTAGATGACTAATGTAACCCCCGTAAAAACCCTTATCCGTAACGCGACGTGTATTAGAATAATTCTATATATATGTATATTAAGAGTAAGTATAATTATCATTTCATCATGAGAAATTAATGCTTAAAATATGTGATTTATGTTAAATTAAATTTATTTTGCTTAAGATTAATGGTTTAATTATTAAAGAAATCAAATATGCAAAATCAGTGTTTTAAGGACTATATTCTGCTCGAGTTTTGTGTGAATTATTTGAGGACTTTAGGGTAATGTTTGGGTCAATCTTAAAGAATGAAAGTTGTTCATCTATGTGTTAAATAGGCCTGTATAAAATTTTATAATATTTGGACCTATAAATTAAGAGTTATACCAATTATAGTGAGGGTTGTTTCGAAATGCATTCTGCTGGAATTTTGGGAGAAGAATCTGTCCGAATCTTGTGAGATTTATTTGATGCTGTTAGATTGATTTTTGAGAAAACCTTAAAGAATAAAAGTTGTTTTTCTATGTGTGTACTAGCTCTCTATAAAATTTCATAATTTTTGGATACATATAGAAAGAGTTATGCACATTTTAGTATAGATGGGTTAGGAGGTAACACTGCTGAAATTTTGGAAAAAAAGAAATTTCGAATTTTAAAAATGGAAATTTCTGAATTTTTTATGAAAGAAATTATGTCTAATTACATGAAACCAGCTTATTAATTTTTTTATTTAGTCTAAGTTTTCTTTAGCCACCTAAGCACTTGAATTAAATGTTTGGAAGCCAAATCATCACCTTTGACTTCCAAAACATGCCGACTTTGCCTTCCAAGCTTCCTCCACTTTACATTTGGCCTAGTTAAATTTTAACACTTATGATATAAATAAATGAGAGAATAAAATGTGAGTATACAAGGGAAAGAGAGGGTTAAATGGCTGCCATTTTTAGGCCAAAAACCGTAGCCATCCAGAATTAAAAGAAAAGCCAAATTGAAGAGAGAAAAACAACAAAAAGAGAGAAAGAAAGAAAAGAGAAAGAGAAAGGGAAAAAAGAAAAGAAAAAGAGCTAAGGAAATTCTAATCAAACCTAAAAGAGGTATGTAGGTTTCATTTTTTTTGGCTGATTAATTTCTTAAATTATTTTTTTAAAGTTATTTTGTTAGTGTTTATTTCATGGGTTGTAATAATTTTCAATGGTTATATGCTTGATGCTTGGGATAAATCTATGTATGGATGCCTTGTTGTGATGATTTATGATGTTATGATTTTTTGAAAAATGTCCAAGTATGTGGTGATGGGTTGGATTGAACTTGGACTAAATTTAAGTGAACTAAAACATGTTTAAAGTTGGCTTGGAATGAACTAATAAATTAGTGTTGATAAAGAGTAAATTCTGTCTGAATTTTGGGGTGCATGTTCAAGGATTTTAGGTCAATTTTTGGGTGACACTTAAAGAATAAAAGTTGTTCATCTATGTTGCAAATAACTTCCTTT